AGACATCCTGGGAAGGCTCTTGGACGTTTTTTCGGAGGGATTTGTTGTATGGGTATCCAACACAAAACAGTTTTTAAAAGAAATAGGATTGTTCAACAAAACATAAAATGCTATAAGTGCGAAAACATGACCATAAATTGATCTATGTTATTTAATCCAGCCATGTTGTCCGCTATCTTACACTGCTCTAACTTGCTCCTACCCGTTCTTTTCAGACCCATATGTATCTTTGCACTGGTCTGCACTATCTTGAACTTTCTTCAACTAGTACAGTTCCAGTGCAGCCCTAGGTTAGGTCGAAAGAACAAACCTACTACTTGATGAAGATCCAAGTCAAACGCAAGATGAGCTTGCAAAATCATTGGGAGTTGATTCGTTTGAGCCGTGCATTACGAGAAAAACGGCCGGAACGAGCAAAGACATGACAAAGTTATTCTTCTGCATGATAACGCTCGGCCTTATGTCGCAAAAGTCGTAAAAAATTATTTGGAAACACTCAAGTGGGATATTTTACCGCACCCGCCGTATTCGCCGGACATTGCTCCTTCTGATTACTGGTTGTTCCGACGGATGCAGCACGATTTGGCAGGTCACCGGTTCACTTCTTTCGCAGAAATCAAAAGTTGGCTTCTAACTTGGATCGCCTCAAAAGACGAGACCTTTTCGAGATGGAATTCGAAAATTGCCTGAGAGGTGGGAAAAAGTAGTAACCAGTGATGGACAATACTTTGATTAATCTGTTCATTCATTTTGTTCTGAAATAAATGCATTTTTGACCACAAAAAACGGACCGAACTAATTTATACTCCCAATATATATTGTTTTAACATTTTTTATATTTTTTTTCACTTGTGAAACGTTGCTGTTTTTCCACAATTTAAACAAGTTACTGATCTTTTAATCACATTATGTAACTACAATATCGAACGACTAGCGGGGGGCTACGCCCCCTGCACCACCCACGAAGCTAACCTAACCCAACCTATCGTTATATTAACCGTCAGTCATTGTTTATTAAAGTGTTCAACTTTATTTCTTAATAATTTTTTAATAAACAATGACTAACGGCTAATGTGACGATAGGTTTGGTTAAGTTAGTTTTGAGGGGGGGTGCAGGGGGCCCCCCGCTAGTCGTTCGATATTGCAGTTACATAATGTGATTAAAGATCAGTAACTTGTTTAAATTGTGGGAAAGCAGCAACGTTCGACAAGTGAAAAAAAAAAGTTAAAACAATATATAACTTGCATATTTTTCGGACTCTCCCGATTGATTATCAATATTGGAGTCAAAATAAATATTTTTACCAAAAGAGCTGCAAAAAGATGTCAAAATTCGATATCAAAATTATTGTACATAATTATCCGAAAAAAAACCAGGAATATTGAAATACTAGATAGTACACTGATCGTGCCTGACGGTACTTCCACAGCAGTGCTTGAGATCAATATTTCGACCAAATATATGATTTTTTAATATTTAATTAAAATTATCTGGATGACTCACAAATCTTTTTAATGATACTTCATAACTCTTTATACAAAATACAAACGATACCATACCGAACCTTTGTTTAATTTACCTCCAGTTATTATTTGCGGCTAAATACATGGTCCAAAAAAGAACAATTAATTACAAGTAATAGAATGACTCACAAATCTTTTCAATTGCATTTCAAAACTCTTCATATGAAATATAAACGATTTAAAAGAATAGTTTTCCAACCGGAGTTTTTTTCCGGTTAAATACATACGAATAAGTATCATCCTATCTTTGGGTGCTTTCCAATTGCTTAACACATCTTGACCTTTGACTATATAATCATGGACCGCTAGCGACGATTTTAATAGCATGTTCGACTAGCTTTGGGTTAACCCACTTTGGGTTATTCAGGCTACGTTTACTGATCGAACAAGTACTTATAAGCTTTATGATTGGCTAGTAGAGACTTATGACGTCATTAATCGCTCTTGGAGTGATTAACCCAGGGCCAGTTGAACACGCTATAAAGCTGGTGGCACATAGAAAAACTTAAGCAGTAAAATGTAAACAGTAAGCAAATTGACCAATCACAGTGCAGCTACAAAGAATAGGGAGCGGTGCATTTGGACACGGTGCATTTGGGCACAGCCAATCACAGCACCGTATGATTAAAGACATTTGTAGGGTCCCTTGGAACAACGACTTGTGATTGGACTGTGTCCAATTGCCCCGTGTCCAACTGATATACACCCCAAAGAATAGGCCTATAGACATCTGTGTATACTTAAATTAAAGAGGAAAATTTACACTTTTAAGTGTGTAAATTGGATTTTTAATACAATTTTTTATGCATTGTAATTTGATAAACTATAAAAAATTTGGATACCTGACGGATTTTTATATATATTTGTGTGGTATTATAAAAAATAAATGAACATTATATCCAAAAATATTTCTGTAAAATAGAGACTCTAAATTGTGAAATGTTTTTTGGATCATTTCATTATCATTGCTTTTATCAAAGTTACAATCCGTTGAATTTTATATATTGCGAAATTAATAATTTGTTATAATCGCGAATAGTACCAGCGCTTTCGAAACACTTCTCGAGGAATTGTTTCAATTGCGCCACAACAAGGAAGCGATGTGCAAGTGCTGCGATAAGCACCACCTTGCACATTCCGCATTTAGGATCTCAATTCCAAACGCATGACACCATTACCAAATATGGTAATGTTCTTGTCGCCAGGCACCCCCTCCGACAAGTCTAAAACAATACTATAAAAAAAGCGGAGAGACCGTTCGCGTCAGGCTTAACATCTCGGTCTCTCGCCGCGACATACGCGTCATACGTGACTTACGCGCGGTTCGCATATTAACTCATAAGTACGGGAGTTGTAATTAAAACACATACAAGTGTACTATTCAATAAACCTTTTTTATAATTAAGACTACAAGATCGTGGTTAAAATCTTTAACTACATTTTATCCACCGCCACACACCCTGCCGCGCCCGCATCACCGATCTCGAACTCTTTTCGTGTCCTGGCAACACGGGCACGACAAATTAAACTCCGTCATTTGTAAAAAAAAATATTAAGTTTAAAAAATATATATCTATTTTAAAGAGGAAAACAAGTTAATCAGAAATTTTGTACGATATTTTTACAATATTTATTACGTAGAAGATACTAGAAATAAAGTAAAATATCTTTCAACACAATAAAGGGACGTCTACATTGGAAGTAAGTAGTAAGAAGTAGGAACTAAGAGTAAAAAATTGACCAACCACAGTCGAATGTGAGAAGAATAATCAATTATGATTGGTCAGTTTCTTATTTTTACTTCCTACTTCTTACTGCTTACTTCCAATGTAGACGTCCCTTAAGCAAACGCATCTTAAGGGACGTCTACATTGGAAGTAAACAGTAAGAAGTAGGAAGTAAGAATAAGAAATTGACCAATCATAGTTGATTATTCTTCTCACATTCGACTGTGGTTGGTCAATTTCTTACTCTTACTTCCTACTTCTTGCTATTTACTTCCAATGTAGACGTCCCTTTATGCGTCTACAATGGCAGTAGGAGTAGTAGTAAAAAATAAGCAGTAAGTAAATTGACCAATTCCATCCTCACGATTCAAGAATAATCGATTGTGATTGGTCTATTTACTTACTGCTTATTTCTTACTACTACTCCTACTGCCATTGTAGACGACACATTAAAGGGACGTCTATATTGGAAGTAAATAGCAAGAAGTAGGAAGTAAGAGTAAGAAATTGACCAACCACAGTCGAATGTGAGAAGAATAATCAACTATGATTGGTCAATTTCTTATTCTTACTTCCTACTTCTTACTGCTTACTTCCAATATAGACGTCCCTTTAACGAAGAAGCTGTACACATAACCTCATAGTAATGGCGTAGAGCTATTCAACTGTCTAGTGTGCTCAGCCATATATTGAAACTGAAACTGAACTGTACACATAACCTCGCAAAGATTAGCGGGTTTTACGCTGAAATCACAGTTGTATTTCAGCAATAAATATGTAATATAAAGTATCAATACGCGCGTACGTACGTAGTGGTTTTGACGATATCGCTAAAAATTTTAGAAATTCGGAAAGAAATATGGCAGTGGTGATTGAAACGACAATAGGAGATTTTACTGTAGATCTCTACACCGAGCAACGTCCTCAAAGTAAATACACCATGAACACGATTGTTAACAGTTTAATTTTTAATTGTTAATAGATTAAGTGTTAAATTTATATTATATTATTTATACATTTCATTTCTCATATATATTAAGTTTATTATATCACATAATTGTGTTTGTTTCCACAGCTACACGAAACTTCCTGAAACTATGCAAGCTCAAGTACTACAACTGGAATCTCTTTCACTCGGTACAGAGCAACTTTATCGCCCAAACTGGAGATCCAACTGGCACTGGAAAAGGTGGAGAAAGTGTATATGGAATTGTGCTGGGTGAGAAGGCTCGTTACTACGAAGCTGAGCAGATGCCAAAGATCAAACACAGCAGGATAGGTCTGCTCTCCATGGTCAACTGTGGTAACAACATGTTGGGATCTCAATTCTTTATCACACTGGGTTCAGAACTTCAATCCTTGGACAATGAACATTGTGTGTTTGGTGAGATAGCGGAAGGGCTCGAAGTCATTTTGAAATTGAACGAAACCATTTGCGATGGAGATCACAGACCATATCAGGATATACGGATATCGCACACAGTTATCTTGGAGGATCCATTTGATGATCCTGTGGGATTTATGATTCCTGACAGAAGTCCTGAACCTACAAAAGAGGCTCTAATGGTAAAACTGATTATCTATGTGCAAAACTATACTTAGAAACTTTCATTGTGTTCTCCTTTTATTTTTAACAATATCTGTTTTAGAGTGACAGAATTGGAGCAGACGAAGCCATTGATGATACAACTGGCATGACCACGGAGGAAATTATGGAAATGCAGAAGGACAAGGAGGCAAAAACGAGAGCTACGATATTGGAAATCGTAGGCGACATACCGGACGCGGACATAGCTCCACCAGAGAACGTTTTGTTCGTGTGCAAATTGAACCCGGTGACTAACGACGACGACCTCGAAATTATATTCAGCCGCTTCGGAAAGATCATCGGGTACGTGAATGTTTTATTCATAATGTTAATTATATTATATCGTGTTATATATTATATTTTGTATTATTATTACAAGTTTTACATATCATATAAGGTAAGTTTTATATATCATATAAGAAGCACATTAATTGAAATTACTTAGTTTTGGAATGATAGATTGTTACATTCAAAGTACAATAAATCGAAGAGCTCCTCTTAAAATCATCCTGTTTAGCATAGTTGAATTGGTTTTAATATTATCTATAATCTTTGTTATAGAATAAGAATTGATATCTATTTAAAAAAACAACTAAAAGTAATCTTAAAAATTACAAGCGGCAGAAAAATATTTAATAATATATTACATAACTAAATTGTGCAATATTTACTTGGGTTAACTTTCACTTAACCAATATTTACGGCGTTATCGAAGTGATTTCAGTTCTGTGCTTTGCTCTGTACAATATATAAGATATATAATTTATATATTTATATATCCTATATCTTCCTTAGTAAATTTTAATAAAATTCCCTAGTAATTTCTTTCCCTAGTAATTTTTTAATAAAATATAATTTTTTAATTTTGCTGAAAATTTTTCTGAAAAAATTAATTAATTTTAATTAATTAATTTTCTGAAAAAATTAAAATACTTTCAGAAAAATTCAGAGAAAGTCATACTTCATAAAAATGAAAAAAAGTGAAAATCTCTTAATTTCTCTGAAAATTTCTCAAAAATTTTCTTTCAGAAAAACGCAGAGAAAGTCAGGAAATTGGTTGTACTTAATAGAAATAAAAAAATTTGAATTTATCTGAAAATCTCTGAAATTCTCTGAAAATTTATGAATTTTTCTGAAAATTTATGAATTTCTCTACATTTCTTAGAAACCCTGCTTTCAGAAAAAAAGATATACAAAATGTGCTTTTGAATTCTTTTAATTCTTTTAAGTCTCATACTGTATACAATCTACATAAAGAAAAACGCTCACATTTTCTTAATTACATAATGTAATTAACTTTTTACATAATGTAATTAACTTAATATAGTAGTAATTAACTTAATGTAATTAATATAATTAACTTTTCATATATTACTACAATCTTACTAAAAAATTGAAAAATCAAATTTTGTAAAAAAATTTCGTTTATTTTGATGCAAGCATTTATAAAAATTTTACTTTCCATAAAAAGACATGCAATTTTTAAAGAAAGTCATTAAATTGTCAATAAATAATTATCATAAATTTTCTGGAAAAATATCATACTCTGACATGTCAGAGAATACAAGTTGCCTTTTTCAGAAAAAGTAAAATTTTTTTCAGGAAAAGTAAGAGTTTTCTAGAGAAACCTTGTGCCAACTTTTTAGTGAAAGTCTCTGACTTTCTCTGAAAATTGTGTTTTTTGAGGAAAATATTTTTTCTAGAGTTTATTTTTTTTGTATTTTTATATCTCGGTGTAGACAAGTAAACTCTTTCAGTAAAAATAAAATTTTTTCAGAGAAAGTAAGATTCTTCCAGGAAAAGTATAAAGATTTTTTAGAAAAAACTTGTGATAATTTTTTAATGAAAATCTCCGACTTTTTCTAAAAATGATGTTTTTCAGGGAAAATAATTTTTTCTCAGTTTTTCATTTTTGTCTCATTCTTATATATCGGAGGAGGCAAATAATTTTTTTCAGGAAAAATTAGAATTTTTCAGAAAAAATAAGATTTTTCACTATAAAAGTAAAGATTTCTTAGAGAAACCTTATACAACTGTTTAATGAAAACCAGAATTTTCAGAAAAAGTCAGAAATTTTCAAACTTTTTCACTAAAAAAACTGAAAAAGTCTGAAAAATCCTTACTTTCTCTTAAGAGCCAAATTTTTAGAGAAATTCTTAAATTTTCATTTAAAAATTTTCATCATGGTACTGTACAGTATAGGATGTATAATTTATTTATATAATAATATGTGCTAATTGATTGATCCTCTTTTAGTTGTGAAGTTATAAGAGATCATCAAACGGGAGACTCCTTACAGTACGCGTTCATCGAGTTCGCCGATCGCAAGAGTTGCGAGGAAGCGTATTTCAAAATGGACAATGTTCTAATCGACGATCGGAGGATACATGTGGATTTCTCGCAGTCGGTCGCGAAGATGCGCTGGCGAGGTAAAGGAAAGGGTATCCGGTATTTCGACGAGGACAAGAAGATGAAGAAACATGAGGAGAACTTACCTCCGTCGAGGAAACGTGAGACGTCTCGCGGACGAGATCGTGACAACAGCAAAAACAGGGAAGAGAAAAGGAGGAAGGAGCACGACAAGGACAGAGATCGCGCCTCGAAACACAGGAGTCACAAGCGCAGGAAAGAAGACAAAGACGTGAGAGATAGAAGAAAGGACGACTCGCGAGACAGAAGAAAAGACGACGCGAGAGACAGGAGAAAGGACAGTGCGAGAGACAGGAGAAAGGATGATGTGAAAGATCGAAGAAAGGACGATATAAGAGACAGAAGGAAAAACGATGCAAGATCGCACTCTAAGAAAGCAAATTAAGGAATACCTTTATAAGGAATATCTTTATAATAAAGAGCATTAAAGTCTAATGCAAGTTTCTGCCAACGACGATATAAGAGACAGAAGGAAAAACGATGCGAGATCGCACTCTAAGAAAGCAAATTAAGGAATACCTTTATAAGGAATATCTTTATAATAAAGAGCATTAAAGTCTAATGCAAGTTTCTGCCAACGTCGATTAAATCTTAACTAGAGTTTAAGATTATGTTTGAATAGAATTTAAACTCAAAGGTTTAATCGTGGCGTTGTTAGAAAGACATGAGAAATGTATCGGGAACATGAACAGCTTAATTTATAGAGCAATCGCTTGGCAGATCCTAGCAATTTCCTGTGTTTCTGATATTAATTTCTCTTTATATTTTACACTTGTATATAGATTGCAAACGGGCTTCTTGAAAGAAATTAAATTTTTTTGAAAGTTAAGGAAAATTTATAAAAGTGGATAATTGTTTCTTTTGTTGTTTTTTCCAGAACCTTGAAAAAATTTACTACGGTTTAAATTTGAAACATAGATACAATACCTGTTCCTTTCTTCCTTTTTATTTCTAGACACTTGCCTTTTTTACGATTATTTATTTACTACCGATTGTTCCAACCTCTTGGTAAGCTACAGATAAATCATGTCTATCTTTGTCCAATTTGAAAAAAAACGAAGACAGACATGTGATTTTTTAGAAAGTTGAGGAAAATTTAGAAGTGGATAATTGTTTCCTCTTTGTCCTTTTTCTAGAACCTGGGCACGCATTTACTATGGTTTAAATATGAAACATAGGTACAATACCTGTTTTTTCCTCCCTTTTTACTATCAGATAGCTTATCAAGAAGTTGGAACAATCGGCTCTTAGAAGCACAAGTGTTAGGGAAATGGATAAATATGCAACATATTGATAGAAACAAAAGAAGGAAACAAGTCTTTTCCTTTCATAAATACCTATCCTTTCCGAGTATGTTATATTCCCTTATAGTCGAAGAATAAAGCTTGAGTTGATAGAATAAAAAATTGTTCAAGATACAAAATAGAAAGTGCAGAGAAATTGTGAGTTAAGATTAAGACTTTCAATGTCTGTTCTGTACAATTTGTTCAGGTTTATTACTTTCTCAAACTAATCGCAAGTTTATTCTTTCTTCTTTTTCTTATATTTAATCTTTATATACATTTTTGTGTGTAAAAAGAATATGTAATATGATATATAACAATGATGTAGAAGTAGGCAACTTGAAGTTCTCAAGTTCAGACATTGAAATTCTCGAATGGAACTGATCTGTCTATATATTCTCGAGCACAGGAACTTCTAATAATCAATAAAAGATCATAATTTCGTTGCTGCTATTTAATCCACGATCACGATACACGAATATTTAGGTACACCAGACGTCACTGATGTCTCATCCAATTGCAGCCCCGGCATTTTAGGTCGAACGCGCATTCAGATTACTCGTTAGTGTCTCGTGACCGTCGATTATAAAGAGCGCAAAATAACTTTTTCTTTATCGATTGCTTGGAAGTTCCATTGTTCCCCGAGTTCGCCGAAGATCGCTACGGGAAACATTCGGGCGCGCATCGCAAGTACACTGTAAAAGCTCGAGTCATCTACCCTCCCGACGCTTTCGCCGAGGGAAAATCGACGCGAAATCCGTCAAGATCCGCAATCTCGCGAAAACTAACATCGATTTATCGATATAGCGACGCGTCGCGTGAAATCTTCTAGGAAAAGTACGTGTCATTTCGTGTGAATCTCTCTCTTCTCTCTCTCTTTCTCTCTCTCTCTCTCTCTCGCTTGTACGCTCGCTCGCTCGCTGGCGGTCATACAACACATGACAGACAGAATATTATATACGATGAGAATGCAAAGTCTATTTATCGCGGGAAATCACGAGAACTTTTCAGACGTGCGCGCTCCTCCCGCATGCAACACACACGGCCTTTATTCCAGACGCATGCAAACTTTAATACGCCCTTTTAATACTGAGTTTCACTCTTATATACAAGCTTCATATAAGGGAAAACGTCCGGTACTCTGTCAAATCGGCACACTATCTGCTTTTGACATTTCTGCGCGGATATTATCAAATATTAAGGTGTACGGGGACGCAAAAAGAAACAATGAGATGAATAAATAACCAATAAATAATTAATAAGTCCCCATATACTTTAATTTGATGAAATCCGACTGTCAAAAACTGAGAAGTGTAATGAGTATTGCACGTTTCTGCCTATAACATCATACAAATTTACATTACAATTATTTACTTGACGTATAACGTTGCCCTAAGTTGTCTTAGGTTAAGAATAAGAAAGGCATATTCAAGGTCTCGATTGTTCCCATCGCTTGATAGGCTGACTAACAATTCAGTCGTACATCTTTGTCTAATTTCAAGAGAAAACAAGATAGACATAATTTAGGGTACCATGAAGTTGGAAAAATTGGCTCTTCTGGCGTACGACCTCGCCTCCACAAACTCGGGCGCGATCGCGCGCCGCGTTTGCGTTAACGCATCCTAGGTGTGTATAGCGTGTCGTCGTCGTCGTCGTCGTCGTCGTCGTCGCCGCTGCCACCACCACCGTCTCTCATCGATTGCGCGCGGTGCGGATCGCTCGGGAAGTTTCTCCGTTAGAGTAGGTAGCCGTGGGTAGCCGCCGCGATCGTGCGTATCGGCCGCGCTCTTGCTCGCGATCGCACGGACCTCCGCTGGGCTCGAGCACAGCATCGAGTTGGTATCCCGGCGATCGTAGCCACCCGTGGTGAGCCACGTCTGGTACCTGGTGAGGCTCGTCGTCGTGATCCGCCCCGTCGTGGGAGCGAGCGAGCGAGCGAGCTCCGTGACGGTCGCGAGAGCGTTGCGTCGGGCCGGGTTTATTGTGTCAGCCAGATCGGGCCACTTAACGGCCGCCATCTTGCTGCGCTGCGAAGGTAGAAAAGGGGCTTGTGACAGGCCTGTCGCAGTCAGTCGCGCGGAAGGAGCGAGGGACGAGGGACGGGGACGGTCGAGTCGGAGAGAGACATACGAGGAGAGCGGTTCCTTCATGCGGTACGCGCACTCATCCTGTCGTCTGTGCGCTTCAGTTCACGAGCAATCGTCAAGAGTGTTCGAGGAACGACCGAATAAAGTAGCCTGAGGGGAAAAAGAAGACAGGGTATCCGTCGCGCTGATACACCTACCTCCAGGAAGGCAGCAGGCGCGCACACATACACACGTACACACGTATTCACCCACGCGCGCACGCACGCACGCACGCACCACCGTCGCCGCCGCCGCCGCCGCCGCCTCCTTCTTTCGCGATGGCCATGGAGACGCCGAGGGAGCGTGAGATCGCCGCCGAGGATAGCATCAAGGTGGTCTGCAGGTTTCGGCCGCTCAACGACTCCGAGGAGAAGGCCGGTTCCAAATTCATCGTCAAGTTCCCGTCCGGTGCGGAGGACAATTGCATTTCCATCGGGGTATGTTCGTACTTTACCAAGCGCTCGTAGATCGTCATTTGTCGAGCCGACTATTAGCGAACGGGGGATCTCGCGAGCAACAGCTGACGGCGGCTCGAGATCGTTTTGTTCCCCCATTGTTGCATATATCGCGCGTAGATATTATATATGAGTGTATTAGAGAGTTATGATTCATCCTAGAGACTCGGAGACGTTAGAGATTGCTTAAGAGCTATGGTCTTTAAGATACGTGGAAGAGATAGGAGAAAGAATACACTGTGCTGAGAATCTCCATTACATGCATTAAACATCTGACATGAGTGCACTGAGGGCGATTAAATTGCCAATAGTTCAGTTTCTTCGGATAAACACTTTTGTGATAGGAGATTCATAGATATTTCTTGAAAATATGGGGAATGACTCAATATGATGTATTGATTTCAGGGAAAAGTATATCTTTTTGATAAAGTATTTAAGCCAAATGCTACCCAAGACAAAGTATATAATGAGGCAGCCAAGTCTATTGTCACAGATGTCCTCGCAGGATATAATGGAACTATCTTTGCGTATGGTCAAACATCTTCAGGTATCACAATTCTTGTCCAAAGAATTTTTCTTGAGAAGCGCAAAGCTGTCTGATGTACATTTGCAAACTGCAGTCACATTCTGTATCTCTTTTTTCAAAGAAGAAAGAAACAAGAAAGTAGTTGCAGATGTTTGTTGGACAGTGATCTTCTAAAACAAATATACTAACTTGCACAATTTGTTACTAAAATTTTCATATACACACAGGTAAAACGCACACGATGGAGGGAGTCATTGGTGATCCCAACAAGCAGGGCATTATCCCCAGAATTGTCAATGACATTTTCAATCACATTTATGGCATGGAAGAGAACTTAGAGTTCCATATTAAAGTGTCATACTTTGAAATTTATATGGACAAGATCCGGGATCTTCTTGATGGTGAGATTTCATTCTATCTGCCATTGGCTTTATCGCATCCCTTGGGATAAAATGACTCTATGACATCCTGTTTCTACTTTTCCAAATGTATTGATTCTCTTCAATTTCCAAATTTATTCTCTGTCCTAAAAATTTTTCTTCCGATTTTCATAGATTATACTATCTCAAAAAAAAAATGTATAAATTAAAATTCAACACAGTGGTACATCAATGAGCTTGATCTCTGATTTCAGTATCCAAGGTTAACTTAAGTGTGCATGAAGACAAGAATCGTGTACCATTTGTGAAGGGTGCAACTGAGCGGTTCGTTTCTAGTCCTGAGGAAGTGTTCGAGGTGATAGAAGAAGGTAAATCGAATCGGCATATCGCCGTGACCAATATGAACGAACATAGTTCGCGTTCCCATTCCGTGTTTCTCATTAACGTTAAACAAGAGAATCTGGAGAATCAGAAGAAGCTTTCTGGCAAATTGTATCTTGTCGATTTAGCCGGCTCAGAAAAGGTGAGCATAAAAGAGAGAAATAGATATGATACAATAAGAATGTAGATATAGATATGACACATAGAAACACACATAGACACTGTTTTCACATGCGCCCATATTTTACTAGGTTTCTAAAACTGGTGCTGAAGGAACGGTGCTCGACGAGGCGAAGAACATTAACAAGTCTTTGTCGGCGCTCGGTAACGTAATTTCAGCTCTGGCTGACGGCAATAAAACTCACATTCCTTACCGTGACTCTAAGTTGACGAGAATACTGCAGGAATCGTTGGGTGGTAACGCCAGGACTACGATTATCATCTGTTGCTCTCCCGCTAGCTTCAACGAGTCTGAAACAAAGTCAACTTTAGATTTCGGTACAGCTATCTTGTTTCCTTTTCTATTTTTTGAAGAGAAAATTCTGCTTTTGAATTCTTGTAGAACACGTCTGTTACAGGTAAACGCGCTAAGACCATCAAGAACGTCGTATGCGTGAATGAGGAATTAACGGCCGAAGAATGGAAACGTCGCTACGAGCGCGAGAAAGAGAAGGCAGCGAAATGGAAAGCCAAGGTGGACAAATTGGAGGCAGAGTTGTCGCGTTGGCGGCAGGGTGAGACCGTCAAGCCTGAGGAGCAAGTTAACCTGATCGAAGGACCGGAGGTTACCACACCAATCAACGTCTCCATAGAAGGTAAGGACAGGGAATTGAGCAATTCAGTAATTTACGAATTAAGACGTAAGCAATGATAAAAACATTGTAATATAATTTTTACAAATTATAAAACATAGATTTCTAGATTACATATTTTTTTAATTTGCGCGGAAAACTCTAACTATCTCTTTATTTTTGCAGGTAAACTGGATGACAGTCCAATGCCAGCGACACCCGGTGGCGGCCTTATGGCTGGTTCTCTTTCGAACGAGGAAAGACAGAAACTCGAGGAAGAACGTGAAAGATTGTACCAACAATTGGACGACAAAGATGAAGAAATCAATCAGCAATCGCAATATGTCGAGAAGCTGAAGGAGCAGATGGAGGAACAGGAAGAGCTTATCGCTAGCGCAAGGCGAGATTATGAGCAATTACAGCAGGAGATGAACCGAATACAGCAAGAGAACGAGAGCGCTAAAGAGGAGGTGAAGGAGGTGCTACAAGCGTTGGAGGAGCTTGCGGTCAATTACGACCAAAAGTCACAGGAGGTAACTATCTGTAATTATTATTTGTGAGCAAAAAACAGTCTCTTCTATATGAACGTGCAATTTATTTCACATTATGTATAGGTCGAGCTGAAGAACAAAGAACAAGAAACCATGACGGAGGAGCTCCTGGCTAAGCAAGTAGCTCTCAACAATACCGCGTCCGAGCTGCAGCAGTTGCGCGACATGTCTGCACACCAGAGGAAGCGCATCGCGGAGATGCTTGCCAACTTCCTGAAAGACTTGGGGGAGATCGGTGTGGCTATCGGTGGCGACGAGAATCTGAAAGTAAAGACATTAAATCACTGAATGAAATGAGAACATCTTTAAGTACCGTCGTTTACGGATCGTTAATTATTTATAATGTAAATATCTGGACTGTTCTCTCAACTATAATTTTATTTCAGGTTGCACCAGAGAGCAATGGCAAACTCGAGGAGGAGTTCACAGTGGCGCGGCTATTTATCAGCAAAATGAAGTCTGAAGTAAAGAACTTGGTTCAGCGGTGTCAAGGATTAGAAAGCTTTCAAGTAGACTGTAACAAGAAAGTGAGTGACCGCGTTTCGCTTTGTCGCATTAATCACGATTTCTTCCACGTGGCAATCTCTAAAATTAAACCTCATTTTACGTCAATACCTTAGGTTTCCGAATACGAGAAGGACTTGGCCGAGTGCCGACTGTTGATTTCTCAACATGAGGCTCGTATGCAAACGCTGACGGAATCGATGAAGGAAGCCGAGACGCGTAAGCGAGCCTTGGAAGAGGATGTGGACGCATTGCGTGAGGAATGTGCGAAATTGAAGGCCGCCGAGCAAGTGCAGGCGGTCACCAACAAAGAGAAGGCCGAGGAGAAGGAAGCGGCGACAAAAATGCGAGTTGCACTCGAGGAACAGATGGATCAGCTGAGAGATGCGCATCAGAAACAGGTTTCGTATCCGAGAACAACCTCCGACTATGATTTATTTCAATTTATGGGTTCACTCGACATGAGGATGTTTCGTAACAATAACTTTACAAAAATTAATGTTTAGAATTAATCTCGCGTAAATTAGCCTGAATAAGTCCGGGGGGTTAACTGAATAAAGATTGACGCTGGAGCACTGAGAACAAACGTTAGCTGTTCTGTGAATTACGTAATCCACTGTTTGCGTTACGTTCGCCGCTTAATCATCATTACTTGCTCTTCCTGCCATTAATTTCTCACTAATCATAGAGACGCGATTACACTTTTTGAAAGTTTCATTTAATTTGAAGAGAAGGAGAGCACGCTTTAATGTAACTCGTTTTCACACGGTCTATCATTGGCCGAACGCCTCTCGCAATCAATGGACTTCGATATACCAGTGACCTAGATTGCTTTGACCGGCGTTTTGAAACGGAAGTGTGAGGGATATGTGACTACGGTCACAATGATATTGAACATGTACTAATTCGATGTTATTTTAGTTTTACGTGTGTATATGTATGTGTATAATTTTAATTTATATTTTAATTTAATATATAATTTTAATTTTTAATTTCTCTAACCTACGTTAGAGAGACCTTTTTCTGATCGCGTGTTTAATTTCACTCAAGGTGGCCGCGCTTCGAGACGAACTATCCGAGAAGCAGGAACTCATCAGCGAACTGAAGGACCTGAATCAGAAATTCACTCTGGCGCACCAGCAGATGCAGGCCGACTACGAGCGGCTGAAGCAAGAGGAGGCTAACAAATCCGTCAAATTGCAGGAACTCATGCTGTTAAATGAACGTCGGGAACAAGTACGTTTTCCACACGCAAACATGTTGTGTTTTCTTGTTTCATCGTCACTCATCCGTGACGATGACTTAATCGTGAATCGCGAGAAACGACCATATACGTAACAATGATATCATACACATTTATCGTAAACTTATCATTGAATTCGTTTCAGGCAAGAAAGGATCTCAAAGGATTGGAGGATACAGTAGCCAAAGAACTTCAGACCCTGCACAATCTACGCAAGTTATTCGTTCAAGACTTACAAGCTAGAATAAAGAAGACCATTAACGCAGAAGACAACGAAGACGATGGCGGCTCACTTGCGCAGAAACAGAAGATATCCTTCTTGGAGAACAACCTGGACCAACTAACAAAGGTACGTTCCAAACTCACATACTCGATATTATCAATTGATCCATTGGATCTTCAATAATATGATCGTTAACTCACGTTTCGTTTTCTCTGATTAATCAACGCAGGTGCACAAGCAACTGGTTAGGGATAATGCCGATCTTCGTTGCGAGCTACCCAAGTTGGAAAAAAGACTGCGGGCAACGATGGAGCGCGTTAAGGCCCTGGAGACAGCATTGCGCGATGCCAAAGAGGGAGCAATGCGAGATCGTAAGCGCTACCAGTACGAGGTAGACAGAATCAAGGAGGCTGTTAGGCAAAAGAATCTGGCGCGTCGCGGACCGAGCGCGCAGATTGCGAAACCAATTCGCGCCGGTCAGCATCATTTGAGCACTGTCAACGCCATCCGAACCGGCAATCGTGGTAAGGAGTTCCCCAGTTCTCGGCTAAATGCCAGTTAAAGAGTCGTCTCTTTTTTTTCTCACTCTCTCACTCTGCAAACTTCGTCTTTATGTGTGTATATATACATACATACCATTATGTTTTTTAGATTCAATTAATTAAAAACACCTACATTGCGTCGTGGGTTTGTTCGATTTTGTACAAATGATGTCGCCGCAGGCAGCTCTGCGCTTTAGAGTAAGTGTGAGCCGTTTTTGATACAATTCTACAATTTTTCTCTGATTTCGCACGAGCTCGTTTGCAGATACTGTGATACATGGTAGCCTATCGAATGAAACGAAAAAAACGAACAAACCTCGCGACGTTTCTTCCTAAGGGAGAATTCACACTTTGGCAGAAAGCAGTCAGATACTCGCGCTGATAGAAAAATATATATTGACTGACCACCGGCGCGAGTCCTTATACCTTTTTGTTTTCCTCTTTTCTGCCTAGGTGTGAATTCTCTGTAAATTTTACGATCGACTGCTATTTTGCATGGCGAGTTAATTAGTTTAGACGTTTATTTGCGATTATTAATCACATAATTTATATAAAAATGACGACGTTGATTTCTTAAAGCGCAAGATTTGATTTGATTTATTGATGTTATTTTGAGATTTATTTGTTTCCTCTCTTTTTTTTCCATGTTCCTGATCACACAGATATGGGTAACAGCGTACAGTGATCGTGAGCATAATGCCAAAACCCTTCACTTTTACAGAAAACGAATGCAAGAACGCTTTCATCGACGAAAACAAAAGAATTCCAGCGGCTCTTATGTATAATGGATATGCATAAATGTGTTATAATTATTAAGATAAGGGCAATAGTACTACATCCGCAAGGAGAGCACCGCCAGTTCTTTTAATTAATTTTTTTTTCTTTTTTTTTTCGGAGCAAGCATGTGCTTAGGTATACATTCGTACGAGATAAGTGCATTAAGTTATATATGTATATATATATATATACACACATGTATGTGTATATATATGTACATATATATGTGTATACATATACACCAGCGCTGCATGTCCCGTCGATTTGTAAATAGTTAATTTTTATAAATTATTTAATTTATAATGTCATGCATGATTCGATAATAAAGTGGATGTCTAATCGAACGACCGATTACTCGGAGAAAGAGCCTCTCGTCTCACTCGGAATATTTATGCATATTTCGCGCAGTGTTTGTCCCTATTTAAATCATGTCCGTGTCTCAGCTTGACGTTTAAGAGTAATAATAGTAAAAATGAGAAAAAAAGCTTGCCGCAATCATTATTGATCGAATTCATAGCGAGAAACTTCAATCAGTAAGTAAAGACGAAAGAGGCGAAAAATACTTAATAGAAAACGTGTTCACACACACACACACACACACAGCGAGTTTGCACCAAACGATGATCAAGAGAACACGATCGGACATGCGGCTGTGTGCGAGTATAAGAATGATTGTGGCTTACAAGTATTCGTAATCATAAGAAATCCGTTCCCCCTCCCCCGCCCTTTGACCCCGTAACTGATAAGAATTTTGCAACGCACGGCGTTCTTTCGGCACCAACCTCGCTGGAGGGCACGCTTGATCGCCATCAAGCGTAGAATTGTCTCTCTATAGCGTCTTTCGTGGATCCACGTGCCGCCGTGCGTACAATTTAGGATGAGAAAATTTTTTAGAACATATATATTCCGGCAGGAGGAACGCTAATTTATATCACGACTGTCCCCCGCCTCCCTGTCGTCCCCTTTAATTTACTCTTTAACTCTTAGCCTTCGTAACTGTAATTTGCGCTGTCTCGTAGCGTCTTAACTTAATTTATTATCGATTCGCGCGTGTCAGAGGCTTACTTTCTCTCGCGTTAGGCTTGCGAAGCGCACAGAGCGACAACGTGAAGTCTTTTCGGTCTTTTGGTGCATTTGTTTCTTTTGAAGTTTCTTTTTTCTCGCCTCGGGTGTGAGTGTGAGTAACGAACGGATAGCTTAATTAGAGTGATGTGATCGACTGTATGTGCGTGTGTTTGCGCGCGTGTGAATGTGTGTTCGTGAGTGAGAGTGAGAGAGAGAGAGAGAGAGTGTGTGTGTGTGTGTGTGTGTGTGTGAATATGTATGTATGTATGGAGCTCCCGCTCGGCAGTTACCTGCATGTCTGGTTGTGAAAAGCCGATGATGCACGGGTTCGCTTATCATGTTCCTAAGAGAAAAGAAAAAGATAAGAGAAAAGAAAGCCCCCGCTGTCGAGAGCTGTCAGAATTTCGCTTACATGTGGCGTCGTCGTTAACCCCCTTCTTTTTTTTTTTTAGATCTTCTTTTCTCTTGCGGAGTCTGATTTTTTCGGATTCTCTCGCGTATACACATTTATACATTGCGTTATTCTCTCTCTTTTTTTCTCTATCTATCTTTTTCTCTCTTTTGACGCTCTTTTTCGAGTCGTTTATACACATAAAGATATAAAAATACAAATGTCATTTGTACATTTAATTTTTAAGGCTTGTCTAGAGTATGAGAGCTCGATAGTCTTATCGTTTGTTTAATCGAGATAAGATAAATTGCCCGATCCGCCGGGCAAGGGTTAATGATGGCCTTCACACTCGTGCATTTTAGTGTAACGCGGTATTCTATGTTTTTATAATCTCGCGTCTATCATTGTTATTCCGCGATCGCTTTTCTACCAAGGGAGTGTCTTCGAGACACTCGTTCACGCAACAATTATAATTATCGATAATTATCGCATATACTCGATGCAATTTCTCTCGGGAACCACGTTTTTCTAGAAACGATACGTTGACTCGACACGTGGGAAGTTTCGCGGCTTAATGAAAGAAACAAATACCTGTGTATCCGACGATAGATTTAGTTGCGCTTAGAATCTCTCTCGCGAGTGCGCGTCAAGAGCGAGCAGTTGAGAACACACACATACACGTCGAGGAGACCGATCGCGAGAAGGTATCCGAAGTACTTTTAACTAACTATTACTACTTCGTTTTTTTTTGCTACCTTCCGTTTCTCCTCTTTTGACTCTCTTTTGTGATATATATATATATATATATATATATATTGTAAACATATATCGAGGGTGCGCGCGCGAAGAAGAAGGGAGAAGTTGCGTTTTTGCTCATACGTAAGCAGAGACAAGTAAAAGTGTGTGGTGCATAACGAGTGCAATTATCGTTAAACTATTTTTGTCTCGGGTGTATGTAAATATATATATGTATGCGTAAATACATTGTACCGTGCGTAATGCAGTTGCGTTAGTTTCGTGGTGAACGTTTAATCCGTCGTAAAGAGAATCCCCCCGCGCCGCCTCCGTCGCTGCCGCCGCCGCCGCCGCCGCCTCCTCCGCAAAAGGTTACTTAGTGTCGTGCGTTTCGCCGTGAAGACTTGTTTATTCTCATATCGCACATAGATTAACACGCGCATTTAAACAGCGTTACGATGTTTCTCTATTTCTCTCCTCAATCTTTTGGCGACGTCTTACGACGAACGAGCGCGCGTCTCCTTTAGAACGCTGAATGTATTTTCGAATCGTGTTGCGCTAAGAAAACAACGCTAACGACGTGCTACTGTATTACTATAATCCATCGTGCTACGTTTCTTCTCGTCATGGCTCTCGAGCGCTTTTTTCCAGTAATTAAAAAAGAAAAAATAAAATCAAGTCGAATGGAGAAATTGATAATATTGTCGGCTTCTGATGAGCTGTTTCCGGATAATCAGTTCCGATCCCGGAGATCGGCATTCTCTCCTTCCCGCTTCTGTACACCCTCTTGCGATGAATCACGAAATTGCCGTTTGAAAGACCGCAGCCGACGTGTTTCGTGTTGCAGATCGCGCGCCGCACGATCGGGCTTATCCAATGATACATTTTATTATATTGTATAACGCGCTATGTATGTTTGAGCGTTAGTTGGCCGACGGATTTGACAGGCGTGGAACGAGGAAAGAGACAGAGCTGTTAGTAATATTATTTTCGTAATGTCTTCGCCGTGTCTGAAATTACATTATTATACAGTCAAAGTAGACGAGTTATAACGATACGTGCGCACCAGCCAGTCACTGTTGAAGAGGAGGTTGATCTACAATCGTAGCCTTTCTTGCGTCGACCTTGTGCGAGACGAACGAATTGTTTCTTGTTTTGTTATTCTTCAAAAAGCAAAAACGAAAATAGAAATGAGAAGTGTGCCGTCGAACGGACGAGCCCGTTTTGTCGTGAAATAATTCGGAAGATCTCGGCCAACGTTAACCGTTGCTTTCCGTACAATATAAAAACGAACGAGCGTGAAGTCGCAACGGCGATTCCGCGTGGACGAGCCGTTTTGTGCGTGTACGACGAAATCGTCGCACACATCTCGCTGCATGACATCAACAGAAAACAGAAAAATATTCGATCGCCGCAGGTTTCCCTTTATGATCTTAATCGAATTCAGATCTACCTCATCTGAAACAGCAAGTAGTACGAGATAGAAGGAAAAGAAAACCGATTATAGCGATTCTAAACATTTTTCCTAGAATTTAGACGGTAGATTTATATGCAGGGTGTAGAGAGGCTGTAGCTAACAAGGTACTATAAATTGTAATACAATATTCTCCCCTCGAATTAAAACTGTAATTTTAAGATAATTATCGTTAATAATTGTATGCGATTGTCGCGAGAGAAGACGACGATGCTTATATACATTAATGGAAGAAGAGAAAACCCAAGAAAAAGAAAAATGACACACACTAAACGACTGTATTCACATATTTATTTATTGTCGCACCGCATAGTCCCGGCAAAAGAAAAGGAAGTAATTCGAAAGAAATATATTTATAAGGTAATATACAATAAAAATATATTATACATATACACCGACGTGTGGATCCACGTGAAGTTCCGAATTAATCATCCTATCCGCGACGGACGTTGATTGAGAATTTCAAGTTGAGCAATTCACTGATTTCTTTCTCTCTCCGGGATATATATCTAATTCTACATACCGCTCGAAGTAATTAGAAGGATTATTTCAGTAAATGGACGCGTTATCTGGCAAACACTCTTAAACTATCAACTACTTATCTAGTATATCTAATATTAATGTCTAATACGTATAATTATACTTGAGCTTTTTTCCCCATTTGCCACAAGAGTTCAACATGAGCTCTCAATTATTTCGAGCGGTTTTAATTACAATTCTCAAAAGTTATGTAAGCAATATTGTAAAAAGTTTCTTGTTTCCTAGTTTTATTTCTCATCGATATAATTGTACAATATCGCAGATATCAAAACGTACGGTAATCGAGATTACGATAAGTAACATGATCATTACAAGTTTCTCAAGTGCACAGGCTAAGAAGAGGCATACACACTCTTGTCGAATAGAACAAAGTAACATCTTTCCCTTTGCGAAGTTCTCGCGATATGTACACTTGATTTCGCTGTGGTTTGGACATTTTTTTTCTCGATGCAGTTTGGAACGCAATCAATGATCCAATAAGAAAACTTAACTTCCGACGATTGATCAGGAACAAATCCTTTCTGGATCACGGACTCCGTTCCAAATCGCATCGGAAAAAGTATCCAGATTTTATTGAAAGCAAGTGTACAAATCAATGTTGTCGATGACATTCGCGTTACGGAAAACAATGGAAATCTTCAGCATTAAACGATTATTCTCACTCTTACACCTAAAATCGCATATGTACGTATTTTTTTTTGCTAAGGAACACACAAAGGATCGTTTCTCTTCGCCACACATGTAGCGCCAAGCCCGTATACGATATACACGTGCGAAGCCACGTTTCTAGATATCGAAAAACTGTAACTTACGTTCATAAAATGTAAATCTCGGGCATGTAAAAGTACCTGTGTACATCTACAAAATCCAATGTCTCTAAAGTGAACACTGGCGGATATGTTTGACGAAAAAGTATATCAGTGTATTGGCAGTGTAACATTACGTCTACTGTACGAGAGCGCAGTAAATCGGAAGATTGTAGTCGTAATTGGCAGTAATAGTCGATTGTTTGTTCTTCCCTAAAGTATTCGCGTGGCGCACATCGAATGTGAATCACACATTTGCCTCTTCCGTTCGCGTCCGGAGAACCGAAAGTTAAATCCTTACAAATACCCAAATTGAAAGATTTAACATTTCGATTTCCTCCGAAATTCGCATATATATGTACACATTATCATTTTCAAGAATTTTCGCTATCCTAATTCTCAAGAGTTAAAATCTTAAAGAGTTAACAATAGAAGATCATATGTGAAGCCAGCTTCCTTTGCTCTTCTTTTTTTTTTCAAAAACAAAACAAGAAAAAGAAAGGAAGATCACAAAGTTTGCGACGCGAGTACTCAAGTGGTCGTTAAATTCTCTTACTAACGGCGTGATAATATTAACGAAATTATAATAAACACCGGACGTGAACATCAGTTAACGTCGTTAACGCAGCAGCATGGCGCACAACACTATCATGTTCAATATCAGCGAGCCGCAGAGTAATGTGATCAGCAAACCGGGGTTCATGACTACCGTCGTGTGGCTCGGGCACACCGATATCGAGTCATTCTGGCCGGCGCTGCTAACAGCCGCGTGCTCCTGCTGAGCGTGGCTCTCCGGAACGACCGGATTGTTGCATGCTCGGACTACGGACAATTGCAATTGCGAGCAATTCCTCATCCTCGTCGTTGTCGTAGTCGCGTCATATACAGAGCAGCGAGATTGCGCGCGAGGAACCACCGAGCTGGCGAAGGACCTCACGGGATTCGCGACGTTTCCTCGCGGTGTGTAACAAGTCTGCGTGACGTCAGACACGACGGAGCAACGATCAAACTCGTGCACGGACGGCTCCCTGGACGGCGCGAAATTAGAGGAGCCGGCCGAACCAAAGCCCGAACTCTGACTGGATGAACGCGATAGCGTCGGCGCCCCGCTCACCATACCACCTTCTTGCCAATAACCGCCAGCCACCCACGAGGTCTGCGTGACCGATCGCAGCTTCGGCGGCGAGAGGATACATCGCTTGCTCGACGCGGATCGCCTGAAGAGATCGTAGGTGGTCGCACCGTATACTTTTCTCTCGAAGATCGGCGGCGTTCTCACGCTGTACCTCGGCGAGTCCTCGCTCAAGGACAGCGCGCTCAGGCCGCTCACGTTGTTGTCGAGGCAACAAGAGTAGAAGTTCGGATAGCTGTCGTTGATGCTTGTAACAGTCGTGGTTAACTTCTGCTTCGGTCTAAAAGTAAAAATGATGTGTAAAAACAGATAGAAGTCACTATTTTGAAAGCCGTCGTTATTTCGAAAAGAGAGATACATATTTTAGTGCAAGAACAGAGATAAAATTTAGAATGAATAGAAATAATACGGACACTGCTAAGTGTGACTTAATCTCGCCGTTGGATAATTTGCTCTCACTGCCTGATAATTCAACACTGCTGTTTGTCTCGTTCAAAATACTGTCGTTTTTTTTTCGATTGTCATACGGAGACTGCGTTGGCACAATGATGTCCCGTGTATGCAACTTGAGCTTTTTAAACGATATCGGTGTAGTCGATATATTTCTATTTGAATTAGGTTTTATATTCAGCAAGCCTATGAGCAATGTACATACTGATATCTGAAAACAAAACAAAATATACATTTCATGATAAAATATTTTTGCATCACATCTTACCATATGATATTGTGTAATGTGTTCCGCAGTGAGCCAGACGTTTTGCAGTGTCATTAAATTCTTGACTAGTACGAGAATAGTCATACAAAACCATAAAATTATTAATAACACGTTGGAATTCTTGTTTTTCATCGAGCTTGCCCAACAAGTACATAGGTGAACGAATAATCCACCGAATGGCAGCCATATAACGTCATGATTGTATGTGATAATTGAACAGAAAACTATCGAAATAAATCGAAAAATTGTGTCTGACTTCCCTACATTCTGCGAAAGAAATATTGAATCATTATTCATTGCAACGAATACTGTTAAAATATCAACAGGAATATTAATGGCTATATATTCACAATAATGTGATAAATTTTAATTTTATAAAACTTCTTACTTATGTACATCTTACATTGATAACTGTCTTAACTGGCTTTTGTTTGAAAAAGAGCATTTTGTAATGGGTAAGCCATACTGCCTGCTTATTCAGGACATCTCTCACTGTGTACTTGCAACTACTACACAGTGGATACTTTTTCTCCAAGTATTCCTTAAATATTTTCACCTCTGCATTGTAGAAATTTTCATTTTTGGCTTCAAAGTTTGACAGCGCCGACAATTTCAAGCTTTCTCGCTTGTTACAATCCATGCAGATATTGCTCTTTGGAACATTGGCAAAATTGTTCTGTTTAGGCAAACTGCAGTACTTTGTGCGTTTGTTAAATGTTGCATATTGTTCTGGGATTTCGTATGCATAATCATCATTCTGTAACAAATTATCAATATGTTAATTGTATAATCAAAAAAATAACTTTTTCTATAATAAAATCAAAGAGTTTGATTATGTATAACTCTAGTATAATTTGTATGATAGAAATTAGATGAAATTTCTGTAACTTTGGAGTTCTTACTTTGGAGAAACCATTGTATTGTTGGCATGAAGGACATAACCACCAATTCAGATTTCGCCTCCAAACCCTTGTATTTTCATTGCAAAACCAGCAGTTTACTTTCACAGGCCATCTTATTCTATTGAAAGTAAAATAAGAAACATATCAATATATGAAAAGTTAAAATACATGTCACTTTTAATTTAATTCTAAAAAAATTCAAACATATCCAACAATACGCAAGAATATCCAAGAATACAAAAGAATAACTTACTTTAGCTTGTAAAAGATTGTTAAGCATGTAACGAGGATTAATTGAACGGGAACCAATACAAACACACAATTCAACATAAAGTTCTGTTCGAGTTCCATTGTTTTCGTCCGGATAAAAACGTTTTAAAATCGCAAAAAACGCTCGATGTGAACAGGCAACACAAAACGTTTCTCTAAAATATATATATATATATATATATATATATAAGAATCTCCAACATCAACTATGCGCTACATCTTCAGTCAAGTGTCCAAATGGTAGATACACTATAACCTAAAAAGAAGAAAAACGCGCTTAAAAATAATCCCGCAATTACACGTTAAGTATCACCGGCGTTGCAAAGTCACACTTACGTTAACTGAGACTATTTTGAATCTTGTTAACGAATCACGTTAATTCTCTTATCGCCAAATTATCCAAGCAAATTCGATATCACACTACGCGCGGCACGTGTTGACCAACGCCGGCGTTCTGTGATTCTCTCAGGCTCCCTACATATAAACCTACGCGAAACTACATACGCCCTTTCGATTCTTAAGGTGAAGGAGCATCACACGCGATGCTCCTATATGAAGTCCTAAACTTGGAGCCAGAAAGGCGCGCTTAGAGGCCGCCATGCGCTCAGAAGAAACCCTGCGAACCTGTTCCCGTTACGCTGCACTTTCTGCTCCTCATTACTGCTAAAAAGTGCAGATTCAGTGAGCATTCACAACGCACGATCGATATTTTATGTGCATAGCGCCATCTGCATACGTTCGTATAGGTCATACTACACAGTAGGCTTTACTACGTTTCGTATGTGAAGTCATATTGATGAAAAAGAAAGAGACGTGTATTTATCTTTATATATTTTTCTTTTCTATATTTTCATTTATTTATCATATAAATTTATCGAATTATTCAAGTGTCACCTAGTGGTCGCGGTACATACTATCAAGCAATTAAAGCGACAAAGAGGGATGATACAACGCCGTCGCCGCGCGCGACTCATGATCTCTCTCTCGCACATTTGCTCGATTGGATCTTTAAAAGTTACAGGCAAACAAAAATTGTAAATTATTGAAGAAAGAAAACGTACAAATGCGAGCAGATGTTGGAAAGTTCGTCTTACCGTTGAATTTCCGACACAAATAAACAAGCCTAGCTCGCATAATCCTCGTTGCATAATTTCCGCTCACCACGCCGTAGCGCTGCACGCGCCGCGTCGCGTCCCGCGGTGCAAAATGGCGGCAGTCGCCTTACGTTCCTCAGTGTCGCGGTACGTGTGACGACGAGAATACATCGTTTGCGCGCGCTCTTTCATGGAGAGCGAGATATCCTCGATGCGCCTGTCATTCCCGAACGCCAAGCGACTTCGTTGATGATCTCAGGTGAGCCGCATCGCGCGCACAATAAGCGCACGAAAACGAGAGGAAATCCGTGGCGAACGTGCCGGACGGCGCCGGGACGGCCGGCGGTGCGCTTTGTTTGGCTACTCGTGCGTGAACCAGGAGATACCGGCTTCTCGCGTGGCCAGATATTCTTGCCCGGAGCGGGACGCCGCGTCACGTGCACGTCTCATAGGCGGCCTCGTCGCGCTAACTCACGCTCTTTCCACGGCCATCGCGCCGCCGAGTTACCGCTTCCCGCCGTAACCTTTTTTTGTCGCCATTGTAAACACCGTAGTACGCCGCACGCGGTGTGTCTTCCGCCGATCGTTGTGGAAACGCGCGCGCGATATAGCACGTTTTCGCATTACATCGATCTCGCGCTGTTTACATCGCTCTTGAAAGAAATTCACGCGATAAGTACGTGACAAAAATACATTCACAATAAATTATGTATCACACAAATTGACGGAGCGTTTGAAAATTTGCAATTCCAACTTGTGATAAGTGACCTCGTGGCAGGCGTAAATTATCATAAGGATTTACGAATTTTTATCTCAAAAGTTGCTTTTTTATTTTTTCAAGAGAGTTCAAAGTTTAACCACCCACGGGTCATATGATCGAACAATGGATCTCTAGGAGTTGTATGAGTCACGTGTATGTTGACGAACATAAAAAACGCGCGATCACCGACGTGTTAAATCACTAAATTATCATATACATGCCATATTTCATAGATGTTCAATTATATGATTTATATCCAATCGAAAACTTGAAATTCCCATTTTCAAAAATGTTTAAAATACAAAAAAAATCATATTTTGTTACCTTTCTCCACTATTTAAGATGCAAATTTATATTTTGTTACTTTTCTCCACTATTTAAGATGCACTATTTATGACACTCATTTTTGCACTGAATTTTTTTATACTGACTTGCTATTTAGTTTCTAATTGTTACTTTCATTATTCTGTGATATATATATACACACACACATACATACATATATGCACACACATAACACATTTATTTTTAATTATTTTTCTGTGTATGAATATTATGTGATATGTTATTTATATTTTCAGATTGTTTGCCATAGGCTATCAGATATGTCGACCCCAGAGAAAGCAGATATTTGTGTGCCAGACACACAGGAAACTTACTATGAAGAATCCAACAACGAGAAGACCTGCAGTGAGACACAGAACACCAATGTAAATGAGAGTCAAGATTTTCGTCTTGTCGATTTTGGAGAAGACGAGAGTTTGACTAACAAGACACAGCCTTCTGGTGAAGAAATCTGCCAAAAGCCAGCTAAAGAGCCAGACTTGCAGCAAACTTCCAACACAGCGGAACCTAAAACAGACAACAAATCAATAACTGCGAATGACGATAAAATCGAAAGCGAAAGAAAGATCATTGAAGAAGAGACAATAGAGAGTGATCTTGTAAAGAAAAATGAAATCAACGACGAGCTTACTGACAATGACGAGGATGAAATTGTCCAAGGTACGCCTCCTCACAGTTACACGCCGCCTAAGAAAGCGGATGGCGATATCGAGGGCGCGAGTCTCAAACGCAAAGCGGGATCTTTCGAAGAGCCACCGGCTAAAGTTCTCAGGACGACATCGATGGAAAACGCTGTAGATGTTAAGGAAAAATTCGTGGAGGAAGAGAGTCGTCAGTCCTGCAAGTCCGACGACTCGTATGACGAGCTGTTTAAAAGTCCCCGACATAACGTTATAATAGAAGAAACTCAAGATCCAGCGAGCCAATTGCCGAAGAGCCCCACCGCGCCTACGGAAGAAACGATGGACACCGACACAGAGCAACAAGAGGAAAAAGAGAAAAAAGAGAAAGCTTTTACCGAAAAATGCTGCGACGTGGAAAAAGACGAAAACCTGAACGTCTCCGCGAAAGCTGCCGACGACACTAGTGTCAACGATAGCACCGTTGCCACCGTGAATTCCCTGCACGAGAGCGATATGCAGGTAGACGAATATGACACGAAAAAGACCGTCACGTCGCCTAATCCTGTACCGGAAAGCATCGACGAAAAACCTCAAAGTGACACGGACAAGAAAGAGGTGGACGAGAAATTGCCAGAGATAAAAGACACAGACGCAGTCACAGATGCAGTGGTAGCCGATGAAAGCGCTGACACGACAGATTTAACGAACTGCATCGAGAAGACTGAGACTGAAATTGAGAAGCCTACTGAGAACGACGAGAATATTCCGTCGTCTCAGCCGAAAGTAGTCTCCAACGAATCTCCATCATGCTTGAAAATCGGGAGCAAGCCAAGAACGAGCGTGGAGTTATTGTATGATGGCGCGAGAAAAACCACCACCGATGGTGACAGCGAGTCGAAACCTGAGGTCGTGGAAATCGACGACGATACCGAGAAAAGCATTCTGGAATCATCAGCGGAGATAATATTCGATCAAACAAAGAACGGTGAGAACAAGTCGAAGCCGGAAGTCGTCAATATCGACGACTCGCACGAGGAGCGTGAAAGAATCGTCCTGGATCGCCTCGACTCCAATTCGGAGGTGACTGCCATGGGCAAGAACTCGGACGCGAATGAGACGCTGTACAAAAGCTGTTACGGCAGCACGACCGAATTCAGCTTCAAAAGCGTATTGGACAGCAAGAAGGAGTCGTTGATGGACTCGAACGATGATAGCAGCAAGCTGGTGAACGGCAGTGACGAGTCCAAGAGGAGCGACAAGACTGTTAGCATCGAGTCTGACACGTTTTCTGGTTACGATACACCGCCTGTAGTTCTCAACAGAGATGATAGCAATAACGCGGCTACATTCAGCTCGCGAAAGCTGGCTACGAAGATCCTCTCAGGCTCCAAGGACTTAGACAACATCGAGCTGATCAGCATAAGCGATCACGAGCAAGACCTCTCCAATACCGACGACGGCGCGAGGAAGTACGACCTGATTCATAACAGCGCGCTGGCTAAAGCCGTGCAGGTGGAGAAGGAAATTGGGATGTATGTGAAACTCAGGTGTCTCTTGCAGATCGATGAGAACACGAAGGAGCTCTTGAGTAAGGAACTCAGTGCGGTGCATTGCGAGCCTATAATGGAATCCGCTTTGATAAGGCAGAAGAACGATGACACAGCGTCGTCCTCGTTGGCTGATATTTCCGACAACAAGGAGGCATCGCCCGGCTCCGTAAATAGCAATCCTCAGGCGTTCCATTTAAACCCGTCCAGGTTGTCTATAATGTCATCCATTAGCTCGTCTAGCTCAGCGTCCAGCGCCGCATCGCTTGCAGCGAAGCTCGCACTCAAGGAAAGCGTGTTGTTCTCGTTGCCTCGCGGCCCAGCGAAGCACGCGAAAAAGATGTCGCAGGATATGCCGTCGTCGATGAACGATAAGCACACTTTGGACGAGACTTATGAACGTCTGACGCGCGAGTGGGGCAACAATCGGCTGTTGATCACGACCGTGTTGAATTGCGCAAACGCGGAGCTGAGCGCACTGGACACCCACAATATTAGCAACGAGCGGTTGGACGACCATGCAGAAGATGCACCCTTGCAGAAGATGCACTCATCAACGCCCGAGGTCGAGGCGGAGAAGATCGCGTTGACGACCACACCGAAGAGCACTAAAAAGAGCAAATCGCTAAAGAGACCCCGGAGCAAGATGACGAGGTCGCGGGCGCACACGAACGGCGAGAGCAAGAACAGCGCGAACACGCCGACCATCACGACTGACTCCATCGTGGAGGACGACAACACACCGCGGAAGAAGAGTAAAACGGAAACCGACACCGTGTCCGATGCTACGGAAGCAGCCAAATTGATAATCAGCGACTCGGATATATTCGCGAACTCGTCGCCATTGTCGGTCGACGACCTCATCGGCAAGAAGGTGTTCGCCAAGTGGTCGGACAACAACTACTATCCCGGTACAGTAATCGACCGCATGAAGACCAAGTACAAGGTGAACTTCTATGACGGCAAGAGCAAGATGCTCATACCTGAGTTTATTATACCAATACCAAAGACTATCAGAGAGGGCTTGTCGGTGTACGCGACCACGCAAACTAACGATTACGGTTCCTGCGGCATCATCGTGGACGTGAAGAGCGGCAAGGACAGCGAAGAGGACGACGTGCGCTATACCGTGGAAACGGATGAAGGTGAACGCTTGCATGTCCAAGTGAAGGACATTTTCCTGTCGGCTGATCAAGCTCAGGTGCTGAAAGAAGAGGTGGATACCGAGAACAACAAGAGCCTGCCGAGTACACCGAAGCACTTGGGGCAAGTGTCGTTGGACAACATGGTGGAAGGCAAACGACGTTCCAAGCGGATCGGCACGCCGGTCTTCTCGACCCCCAAGGCCAAAAACGCCAGCTCATCCAGCAAGATCAAGCCGGTATCGTCGGCGTCGGGGAAGACAAAGAAAAAACAGAGCGGTTTGTCTGAGAGCGAAAACATGTCCAGTGACACGAACGCCGAGCCGGTGGCGCAGGACGAGTACGCGCAGCAGAAGGAGATAATCACCAGATCAAACTACTCGACCCCCAAGACCAGAAACGCCAGCAATAGTTCGTTCAGCAAGACCAAGTCGGAGCCGTCGGTGTCGGGAATGGCAGCGAAAACGATGAAGAAACGGAACGCTGTATCCGAGAACGAGAGCACGTCCAGTGATACGAACGCCGATCTCGTGATGCAGGACGAGTACACGCTGTGGGGTCTACAAAGGGAGATAATCGACACACCAATTAAATCGAACATGAAGGGACCGAAGCACAGAGTCAAGAGTAAGTTCAGCAAAAAAGCGGAGGTGGAGGACGAGGAGATGAAAAAGATTTACGGCCCGATCCCCAGTGACAACACCATCTTCAAGGGTCTGTCGTTTATCCTCACTTGCGCGCCCACAGACTACCTGGACAGGTACCACGATGGGAAGACCTCCGCATCAGGCACGGAGACCGAGACCGACAACGAGGCGGAATGGTTGAAACGGCCGTTCGTGCGAGAACGACTGCAAAAACAGATCGTAACGGGTGGTGGTAAGGTTTACGAGGACTTCAACGAGATCCCGAAGGAAGAATATGCGAACACCAAGCACATCACGAACGTGCCAAACACTACGGCGAAGAGCATACTGTGCCTCTCGGTCGGCATCCCCTCGTACAATCACAAGTGGATCATCAGATGCTGCTTGGAGGTAAGTTTCTTTCGTACTTTGCAGATTTGGGATGCAAACACAAAACAACTCTGTACAGTTCGTACGTTTTTATCACAATAATATCAATCACTTGCTAGTAAAATTAAACTAATTAATTTAATGAACCAATTAATTATTGCAAATTTACTAGTCATTCTTATAATGAATGTATTATGATCTTATTGAATTTATAACAACAATTATTAGTGGTTTATAATGTGAACGATTATGATTATCAGTTATTTAATTTCACTAACTGTACATATTTGTGTTATTGTGGTAAAAATGACACCAACTTTATAATTTTATATTCATTAATAGAGAACAAGTATCTTATTAGAATATGTCCTTAATTTGTCCGACAATCGTATTGCAAATCGCGAATTGTATTTTCAGGAAAAACTCGTAAATTCGGCTGAAGAAATGCTTCCAACAGGATGGAGCTTACAAAGGCGAACCTATGTAGAAGCGTTCCAAATAAAGATCAAGCCATTGTCACAACACGTCATTATAATTCCTAATCAGGTGACCGACCAACAGTTCGCCACGTTTTGGTCGCAAGTGTGCGACAACGCGGGAGCTGTAGTTTTAGTCGCAGAGAGTTCAGGTATGTTTAGTCTTCCTGTTTTTAGTATTTAAAATAACGTTAATTAGTATTTAAAATAACGTTAATGTTTTTAAAGAGAAATAAATATTTGTCTCGTGTATACCTCGCTTTAATCAACTTGCGAGTGATTTACCGGATTTTGCGTTACATTTTGCAGAAAACATCGAGGAAATGGAATTCGATAGTGCTGCTGTGATTGTCTCTAATCAAAGGTGTCCTTCGTGGGCCGTGGAGAAGGCGCAACAATTACGAATTCCTATTATGTCCGTCACGTGGGTTATACAGTGCTTAATCGAAGGCAGGGTTTGTCCGTACAGCCAGCACGCCTGTTATAAGTACAACTATATAAAAAATTAAAACGTATTATCGTTCAGGGGACCCGCTACATACATTCGCGAAGATCCAGATTGTAATCAATATGATTTGTAATAATCATGCCAGCTTTCTTCAGTTCTCTTTCATACTTATTTTAATTTTTTATACATCTGACTTAGACAGAAAACGAGAAGACAACGACTATCGTGCACAGTTGATACGATTCTATATTTTTTTGTTATATTATGTTAGTATCTTATTTATGTCAGGACTTGATGGAGATTATAATTGCTTTAATTTTGATTTTATGATTAATAATATAAAACATTATTCTTTCACGTCATTTCTACGTTTGATATATCAAACACTCTAACACTCTACCAGAAAAGAAACAAGACTTACAAAAAGGACGATGGGCTGATATTTATCTACAAAATGTAACGTAAGTCATGCTGTCATGCATGTAATCTTATGTTTTTGTTCATCTCTAAACCCGTGGAGAAAATAGTCAAAATTCGTATTAAAGGAGTCGAAATAAGTTAATAGTAGTTTGTTTAATGATGATTTTGCTCCAATTTAATTATTTGTATTATATAGTTTAGTTTTATAATTTTTTTACTTAAAATTAAGAAAACATTTCAAAAATGTTAAATCCAATATAACAAAATTAATATAATATAAAAATTAAAAAAAAAAAAGTTTCGTCAGATATATATCATACAGTTCTAAAAATTAAAATTATTAATAGTGGACTTCCACACCACTCTACAAATTTGATAAAAGAATTTTCTATAAAGAAACTTATCATTTCTGAAATGTTTTCTTAGTTTCCAGTGAAAAGGGTTATAAAATTAAACTATAATACAAGTAATTAAGGTAAATGTCTCAATACCCGGGCATGTACCTAATTCCGGACACTCTTATTATTTTGAATATTTCTCTAAATATTTCATCTTTCAACGTACACTAAATATAAATATAATATGGATGTATTGTACGTTGAAAGTTGAAATATTCATATTCAAATATAAAAATAATAACAATGTCCAGGCATTGGTACATTTACCTCATAGCGAATTCGGTTACTTATACTAGTGCGTACTGAGTGCGCATTAGGGCTTGTTCATAGTATGTTATTATATTTAAAGATTGTCTTAAATAAATTATCAAATATTTTTAACGATAATATGATATGTACAACATCCGTACGAATCATTTTATTAGTTAAAATGTTTTTAAATATGTATTTAAAACAATCTTAAATATAAGAATGTACTGTAAATAAGTCTTAACGCACACTCAATGCGCACTAGTGCAAGCTGCCGAATTCACTATTAAATGACTAGAACATAGTCGTCGCTAACTTTAGGCAAAAAATCGGTCCATTTATCCAGACATCATTCCTTTGTTTTTGGTATTAACATTAGTCACTGGCTAGCATAATCGAGTAACGCGGATCGTATTGACGAATTTCGCATGATTGTAAGTGGACTTTTCGATATTCGTGTTTATATATTGCTTCCTAATATTCTCCTTTAATTTTCTAACAATAATAACTACGCATCATTGTGACGTTGTACAACATATCATCCTGATGCCAACATAACCGCGTAGCGGTGTTATCGTTAGAAAATTACAGAAGCATAAAAAAAGTGACGTGTAGATGTTTAGATTTTTGTAAGATTTTGTATAAAACGACGCGTGAGCCGCAAATCTGTTTTTTACGATAAGAACGTCTACTTCTGAGAGACGTTTGCGGTGACCTTAGAATACATATATATGCGCGGAAAAGGCACAGCTAATCTGGGCGATAATAATAAATATCAAAAGTTTCAAAATATTCATCTGAAGATATATTTTTGTGTTTGTGTTTGAATCGCGCTTGCGCGAGTAAAACTAGAGAATGAAACATGTAAAACGAAATATTTTTTCTATTTATGACATGCCTCATGCCTCATGCCTCTTCTCACATATATATGCATTTTAAGTGACGTTGTTTGAGACATTGGATTCACATCAATTCGCGACATCATGTTATCTCTCCCTTTCCTTACACATAGCCTATCTTCAAAGTATGTGACATTGTAAGACATTTATTTGTACTTTGCAAGAGTGGAATCGGAGAGATATAAAAGATACACTAATATATATTTGATAAATTTCAACATTAGTAACTAAAAGTACATTTCGTTCTCTATTTATTCTTCACGTGAAAACGTTTTTGTACGTTTTCAAATCGAAGATAAATATGAAATGGGAATGAATTTATTTACTGATAAAGTATTCGTCAAATATATATATCACGGTAATAACAAATTAATATGCCGCCCGTGAAAAATATCTTTTACGAAAGATAATGTGTCTGGACCCGTGATTGTCAATGATAGAGGAAATTTCCCCCTTATGTAAAAAAAAAAATAAACACGGGATAAGATAGGCGGTAATATATGTGTATATATAAGTAAATATATATATATATACCTTATAAAATGTAAGTTATATATCTATTATGTACAATGTCTGAGGGAAAAATACAATCATATTTTGGCAAATGCGTTCCTTCCCTCTTTTTCTCTTCCCTTTCCCAAAACTCCTTTTCATAATAGTAATTGAGAATATAACAAAGTATTTACGGATTGTACCAATCGAGAAACAATAAAGAGAACGACATCACCAGTAGGAAGAAGAGGATCCACACTCTGAGTCCGGCGTTCCGTTGAATCGCCTGTCGAATTTGCTCGTTGGCCTCCTTCACGTTCTCCGTCGATCCAACGACCGTGGTCATCAATCTGTCCAGGTCTTTATCCTGGTCAAGGATCTTTTCTGTGAAGATCTCTTGCAGCTCGGCGATGTGAACCACCTTACTCTCGATCTGGCTGACCTCCTCCGTCAAAGTATTCAGCTCGCTATACAGCTGCTCGTTCTCCGAATGGAACATCTGGATGTCTTCTGGCGACAGCTCTTCCTCGTACGTAAGCGTGTTAACGTCCCCGTTGATCTCTTGGATCTTCATCGGGCTCGAGTCGTTCGAGTCGTTCTTACTCTCGTGATCGTCCGTCAATTTCTGCGTCGCGTTCAGGGCCAACTTCCTGTCATCTGTTATTGACGACGACTGGTCGACGAACTTGGTATCAGACTGCAGTCGGACGATCTTCCGCATCTCCATGGCCTTTTTCACGCGCATCGCCTTCTGCTCCGAATATATCTTGCAGACGTTCTTCAGGTAATCTTCTATCATCAGTAGCATGATCTCGCGATGCTCCATATTCTGCTGAGATAGCTCGCATGCCGCGACCTCCCTCTTGAGATCCTTGACGAGCTGCGAGCAAATACTCATTATGTTCTGCGCCCCGGCGTCGATTTCATCGCGCTCCGCGTCCGTCATGTGGGACGCGGTGCACAGATGGTTGTGGAAGTCCAGATAAACTTTCCGACTCTTCAGCAGAAATTCCCGCAGTCTGGAGATCTGCACGACTACATCGTGCGCTTTGAAGTGGAAGGAACTCTTGTTTCTGGTTTTCTTTAGGAGATCCTTCGTATTAGTCACCGTGCCGAGTTCCTTGTTGCGTAAATTCACTGTTTTTACACTGGCTTTGAACAATGCGCTGACATCCATGTTTAAACTCCTATGAAATCCTTTTCAGAGACAATTTGTTAAACTTTTCCCAAATTTTTTTAGTACGATGTCATCCTGCACACAAAACACTGAAATATATTGTGCTGATTGTCATGTTTTATAGAAATTTTTGCAAATTTCTTTTGCTCTTCTAAAACTTGATTTTATAACTTACTTTAACTGGAGCTTAATTCATTAAAGGCCTATCCAGACAAGCTTATATCATCACATATTGTATATGCATAAGGAAATCATGATCTATTTGATAAAAGGATGCCTTTTATGTGTTAAACACATTTTACATTACATTACATTAGCTACTTTCCTTGTGCATATGAATAATGTGAATATATAAAATAATATATATGATAATATATAAGATATGAATATATAATATATATGGATAGATCTTTAATGAGATAAACTTTAGTTAAAGTAAGTTGTGGAACTGAATCTAAAGTACCTTCTTTAATATACGGAGAACTTTAACAAACTAATATTTTATTTTGTACAGAATACAATACAGAACAATACAGAAATATGAGATACTAAGATTGTCTACAAAAAATGTAAATATTTACTCTTTCTTTACTTTGTAGACCAACAGCTAAAAGATCAATTTAAATATTTATTTATAAACATAGAAACGTTTGATATAAAAATTAGCAAGAATTTTTGCAAAGATACTAACGACAAACTATGACTTAGTCTGCTTTGAGATTTCTCCTTTTTGATTCCTCTTGAAAAGTAAAGAAGTAAAATAACGAACGAGAGAACGCAATTGTTAGTTTAACAATGTAACATTAACGTCATTTGCGTTAACTTAAAAATAAGCAAAATTGAGGTTAATGCGTCAGTATATTGACATAACACGTATTCTTCTTAATAGCACCTCCTGTCTACTTACAATCTCTTTTTCTGTTCTCTTTTTTCTTTCTTGATAATTAATTATATTCTTATTCCACTTTGAAGTTAAATCTATGCGTGGCTAAGCACGACATGACTAAAAGAAATATATCTGTATATCTAGAGAGTATAGGTGTATGGAAAATGTAATCACCTTAACAAGTAGAGGACAAAAGCTATTTCGGTTATTATATAGTTTAGAGCTTACCTCCGATTTGGCTGAACCTCAACTTGTATTATGTATCTTCACGCGTAGAAACCAAATATGACAGTTAAAATTGTCGTTTTGACCCGCAAAGCGAGATATTAATCATCAAAGTTAACGGGTATGACAGGTTATGTGAAACCTGTCATAGCGACGAAATGTAGCGACATCACACGCTCTGTAGTGACATACGCATGCGAAAGTGCGCGCATTTGAAACATATGTGTACTTATGTATCACTCGTTAAGTTGTATCATGATCTCAATAATTGTACTGAGGCACAATAGAACTCAACAAGTATTGACAGAAACATGCATTGGCCAGATGCTGCTTACAGCTATCACTACCTCAATTCCTCATTAAGAAAAGTGATGGCTCGATATTATTAATAAAACCTCGTTTATTAATACATATATTCTTTCATTAAGCTCAGATTATACTGCATTAACTTAGATTTACTCTTAAACTATATATGTATACATATGTATTATTTATTCTCAACTTAACTTAGATTTACTCTTAAACTATATATGTATACATATGTATTATTTATTCTCAACTTAACTTAGATTTACTCTTAAACTATATATGTATACATATGTATTATTTATTCTCAACTTAACTTAGATTTACTCTTAAACTATATATGTATACATATGTATTATTTATTCTCAACTGGTTCAAATTCAGCTAAGAAGGTGTTGAATTGTTCCATAATGTCCATTTCTTTGGTCAAATTAGTCTTATCGTCATACTGTGAGCCAACTGTCCATAATGTTTCCAAATCGTAATGCTCTCTAGAAGATGTAGAGAAGACATGCAAAGCAATGTTCCCTACAACACAGATCAAATGTTATTCTTGTACCAACAAATAACAGTACTGTAAATAGCTGTGTAAGTCTGTACCTAAATCTATAGCTATCCATTCATTCGACATCTCCCCTTCAATTTTTGGCAACTTATCAGTCTTGTGTCGTTTCAGTTTATAAACTTTGCGCACAAACGTGACAAGAGCTCTCATATGTTTGATTGATGAGCCAGTTACAACGACGATATAGTCGACATAGGCATATTCCTTTGGTACAGATGCCACGAAAATATTCTTGGCCTTGTTTAGTTCTAGCAATATGACGAGATCCTCGATATCATAGACGCCAGTAGTACCGCCTAGAAAACAGTTTTATCATTGCAAAACTGTTGCAAACATTCATGACTATCTTACCTGTATTACATTGACTGTGTCCAGTAGAAAGTGTAATTTTACAACTATTATAAAATTAGTGTTCGCTTGATGTATGCTTTTAATCCTTACCGAATTTTAGAGCATATATCAATCAGATTCACGAATTTTACAACAGTTGTGAAACAATTTTCTCTGCTGTTGACATACAAGGTATACTCACGCTCGAGATTTATGCCAGCATAGGGATCATGAAACTGTTCTTGCGCGGTTAACAATTCCAGGTCTATCTTGTGTTGTTCCTCGGTGACATCGAAGATAACATCCGCATCCTCATCTTGAAAAACCTTGTATTTGGCGTTAATGGGAGCTGTAAGGTTATGATCATCATCTTTTTGGACGTCAATCTTTTCTGCCTCACCGGATTTTTTTCCGGAATTATTCGAGAATTGTCTCGATTGTTTTAACTGCGAATACGTTAGTATTTCTTTGTTTTTTGCGAAAGATTCGCGTAATATCCTTCGCGAACGAAGCAAGTTCCTCAAAATATACGAATGCATATCGAACGAATTCAAATTGTCGGCAACGTGAGACAAGTTTAGGTTAGGTTGAGTTGGAATATAAAATTATTACGTTTTATTAAAGCGATCATATCAAAGATATATTTCAGCGTAAAATATACTTATATATATATATATATATATATAATTGTAAAATATACTTCTCAAACTTTATTCTACATACTTAACTACCGTAACTAAAACTAAATTTTGTATGAAATTTACTACTATATAGGAAAGGGAGAGAAAATGGAAATTATCAACAAATTTATGTTAATTTTTAAGTTTTATTTGAGTACAAGTGTATAAAATGTTCTCTGTGGGACAAAACATCCATTGAGATTTCTTGAAAGCAATGATTTTTCTTGCAGCTTCAATGAAGATTAACCTCAAGCGATGTGAATTCATACATTTGTTCTTCTTATGCCTGATATGCCTTATGCTCACACGGACACAACGAATGTCCGAGAACAAAGGTTCGCCACATGAGCAAGTCGACTTGGGACATCGTGCAGAAGTTTCACCCACAAAGATCATGTAGAAGTCATTTACTTGGACCTCGCACGCATCTTCCTCCTTTTGCGCTTTAGCCTACGCATCCTCTTCTTCCGCCACTGTAAATCAAGCAAGTTATTAGTCATTCTTGCGCCTTCTCCACAAAGGTTAAGTTAGATTATAGATTATAACATCAAAATTTTTAACATCAAAATTTGATAGAACTTAAAAATCGAATGATAAAATCAAAACTCGTAAACTCTGTTAAAATAACTGTGCACATGGTTGGATTAAATCGTTGAATTTATTCACAAAATCATCGTATTGCGTGCTATAATACACGAGTAAAAGAGAAACTGTCGCATTTTAACATTCGCGTATTCCGTGCATTAAATAATTATATACTTCTTCAGAATAATTACCTTAGCTCTCATTCTGCAGATCGAAGACCGCTAAATTTTTCTGGAAGTGTTCGATTACTACGGATTTCGAAGCGTCCACATCCAATGGCTTCCAAAAATAATATGGAAGAGACTTACAACGCGAAGTGCCGAAGAAACCCGGTAGTTCGCATTTCTCTCAAAGATGTCGTTCCCTTTGTCCCGATGTACAATACTAAGCTTTAAGCCGTAAGAAATTAACCAATAACAATTCCTTATTCCTCTAAAATTCCACTGTGATTGGTTAATTTCTTAGTCCCGATCTACAATAAGTGTAGTAAGCTTTAAGGCCTTAAAAAATTGACCAATTATAGTCGAATTATAGAAGAATAGTCAATCCTGATTGGTCAATTTCTTACGGTTTAAAGCTTACTACACTTAAGCGTCTTCTACAATGGCAGTAGGAGTAGTAGTAAGAAATAAGCAGTAAGTAAATAGACCAATCACAATCGATTATTTTTGAAACGTGAGAATGGAATTGGTCAATTTGCTTACTGCTTATTTCTTACTACTACTCCTACTGCCATTGTAGAAGACGCTTTACTGTAGATTGGGATGGGTAAAGGGACGTCTATATTGGAAGTAAGCAATAATGTCCTGCACACAGGACGCGGTAATGTTTGCCGCGCGGCGAAAATCCGCGTGACAGCCAATCAATATGTTGTTTTTCCGTAAGAGCTAGAAAGTTATTACGAAAAGCAGCATATTGATTGGCTGTCGCGCGAACTTCCGCTGCGCGGCAAGCATTATCGCGTCCTGTGTGCAGGAGCCAATACAGCACAGAAACGTTGAATCTATATTTTATAAACGTTTAATTTCAACATTGAAATGTTGTATCAACATTGCAAAATATAAATTTAACGTTGAAGAAACGTTGTAGAAACGTCTAATGTCCGCTGAATTGCAATATTTTGTAGATATCTATAATGGTTCCTGCACACAGGACGCGGTAATGCTTACTGCGCGGCAGAAGTTCGCGCGACAGCCAATCAATATGCTGCTTTCCGTAATAACCTTCTAGCTCTTATGGGAAAACAACATATTGATTAGCTGTCGTGCGGACTTCCGCCGCGCGGCAAACATTACCGCGTCCTGTGTGCAGGAGCCATTACCGCGTTCTGTGTGCAAGAGCCATAATTATCGTAACACCCAAAGATGAAATATGACTTAGGGCTATCGCACACAAATTGACATAACTGCATATGCATAGCATAATATCGTATGGACCAATGAGCATCGAATATTAAGCATCGAACACCAATATGGCGACTTAATACTCGATGCTCATTGGTACATACGGTCTTATGCTATGCATATGCAGTTATGTCAATTTGTGTGCGATAGCCCTTACGTTGCGCAGTTTTATCACGTCTGATAAAGTGCAGAACCACTTGTAGTCTTTGACTATGGGTTCTTTCCAATTGCAATATCCCTAGACACTTTCATGCACACGGTGACACAAGTTGCATTCCAATTGTCGTCATCGTCGACACAACACTACACATTTGTACTCAGCTCGAGGGCTACTAGCTAAACTAATGTTTTCTAGTGAAAATTAAATTTAATAAGCATAGCGGCTTGAAAAGAGACTGGCATTTGCGACGTGAAGTGGATAATATCTTTTTTATTATTTAGATTTTATTATTTATTATTAAAAAATACCAAAATATAAACATAGTTGAAAAATAATCCTAACCCTACTCGACATACATACACATTAGTACACACTTTGTTCCAATTGAATCGTGCACAACGTTACACTTAATTAGGTAATGCAAAAGAATTTTTTCTACTGTACGATTTGTATGTCAAATAGTATGTTAATATATTCTGCCTCTCTCGTTCGGAAATATTCAAAGCTTACATGGTAGAACTACATTAAAGATAGTATTAAACTCTTCTCTTATGAATTTGCAATTAACTTCCTAGTAAACACCAAGTAAAATTATATAACCATGGACCGCTAGCCGCTAACTTGTGTCTGCAGCAAAACATCTGTCAACATTTGCAGCGCCGCCAGAACCAACGGCTATTACGTAAACTATCACATACTTGTGATTTCTATTTTACCATGTGAAAGATATTTTGTGTGTGTGTTCGTGATCATAAATTTATTATTAAAATACATGAAATATATATTTCTTTAATCGTCAATAACAGACTTTTTCATATTTTTTTCAAATAAATTATTATATTAAAAAAAAAGGTATACAACTTTGCTATAATATAAAAATGAACAATTTTTTAAGTAACAAGAAAAAGAAATCCGATTTGCAAGGAAAACATAAAAACACAAAATAAGATATTTATATAATTCGATACCAAATTTGTATTTATTATATTACATAAGAATATATAATATTTATATAATATTTATAAAATATATTTATATAATAAGAGATATATAATATATGAATAATAAAAAAAATATATATATATTCCCACACAGCCCCATACAACACAGATACTTGTAGCAACATTGCAGCAATATTGCGGCAACACTGCTGCAAATTTTAACATTGCTGCAACGTTGCAGCAATATTGCTGCAAGATCTGTGCTGTATTGGACAACTGATATATATGGGATATACTAAAATCATCGCGGATATGCGAAATATATCTCAATCTCCTGATAATATCATCAGTATATCATAATGAATAAATTTCGAAAATATCGCCGTATACAATATCCAAGAGATATTTTATCTGAAATACGATAATGTGTAAAATATATCGTACAGACATCCTAAAGATGAGTAAAAGATATAAAGCATGTACATGGCTAGAGACAGGCATCTTTTTATTAATATTTCGAAAACTATAGGAAATGCACAAGTGACTATGGAGCATATACATCTCGCTGTTTGTCGTCGGTGTGAGTTTTCCATCCGGCTTAACCGCCGTTACATTAAGACGTGTTCGAACACGTTCGGACCTGTGATTCTTTTGAGCAACGTACCTATTGATACTTTGATGAAAGGGCCGCAAAAAAAGGTCTGAATCCAAGTAAAATGAACAAAAAGAAAGAGAGAGAGAGAAAGAGAGAGAGAAAGTTTTCCTAACCTTAATAGTGGTCAACTTTGTCGGTTAATATTTCGCTTTGCAGTAGAGAGCGACGAGTTTGTCAGATGAAAAAGTCGTTTCTCGTGCAAAAACGCGTCGATTGAATCTACTTTCACCAAAGGTGAGGGGCCTAAACTGAATAATTACCAAGAGCAAAACTTTTTCTCTTTCAGAAAGCTAAAAATGTGGCATTATTTGCGACTAATAATAAAGAAATAACTTTAACACAACTGCAGCTTGCATTGCGCGAGGATATCATAACATCTCACGTGAATAAATTAACATTAAATTTATGATTAATAACATTTGCGTCAGTTCATATAACATTCCTATTATAAGTGATAACTTGTAGTTATTAGATAATATATATAAACAGAATACACATAACAACCTATCTGTAAACATCTGTTGGTTGTGATTCCTGATTGAACAATATAGATTTTATATAACCCGTGTGTTATACAATAAACTGAGAGATATTCCAATTCATGTAAAAAATCTGAAAAAATTGTGAGAATTTTCTGAGATTCTGAGAAATCTTTCCACCAAAGATATATTTATTGTGTCCCATATAGCACAGATCTTGTTGCAACATTGCAGTAATATTACAGCAATACTGGTGCAACTTTTAACATTGCTGCAACGTTGCAGCAATATTGCTGCAAGATCTGTGCTGTATGGGATTTGGTGTAATTCTATTTTGTATAATTTCAGCTATAATACTAATGTCTACATTATATTGATAATTGTTTAATATGTATATAAATTAGTATATCGGTATAAAATTGACTTACTAAGCACATTTTGTACTAATTATATATTTATTGATGTGCATATTAAGTAAGCAGTATAAATTTAGTCATTATCATTATCAAAAACATTCTCCGAGATATATCCAGACCATAATCATCACTAATATATTTGTAAAATATACGTGCGATATATCTTCCGGGGTTTTCCTGTACACGGCAATAATTAGAAATCTCAGGGATATCATACAAATATATTTCGCTACAATATGCGATACTTATACGTGTTCGTAACTGCGAACATTAGTGTATTCTACTAATATCTCTCATATATCCACAATTTCTATGGAATATCTGTAGGATATTGCGAATATCCTGGCAGAATATCTTTAGGAAATTCCATAGATTTCCCTTTGCTGTGTGGGTTAAGAGTGTTTATATAATATATAATATATATTATATAATATATATTATATAATATATACGTAATATCATATATTATATATTTTATATTATATAATATATACGTAATATCATATATTATATATTTTATATTATATAATATATATGTAATATTATAAAAAGAACGTTCAACATTTTTTAAAACATTTAAAATACCGTCATTTGAGGTAACTTGAAACACCGGGGTAATTTTGAACAATTTGCAACGGCTTATAAAAATATGTGGCATTATTAAACGGATAGAGGTAGAACTTTCATATCAGCGATACAAAAGTTACCCCAAATGACGGTATATTATTGTCCTTGAAATAAAATAATTTTTGTCAATTTATGTCAGATATTTTGCATTTTTGGCTCATTAATTTTCCTTTATAATTCATAAAAATTTTAACATAATTTTCTATAATTAATTTTATTATAAAGTATTTGTGGTTTTCAAAAAAGTCTAATTCTTTTTATTACTTTTACTATACTATTAAGCTTGCCACACGCACTTTCCATAACAGTAGCCGTAATGGCTCCTGCACACAGGACACGGTAATGCTTGTCGCGCGACGGAAGTCCGCGCGACAGCCAATCAATATGTTGTTTTTCCGTAAGAGCTAGAAGGTTATTACGGAAAGCAGAATATTGATTGGCTGTCGCGCGGACTTCCGCCGCGCGGCAAGCATTACCGCGTACTGTATGCAGGAGCCATTATCAGTGGTGAGACAAGAACAGAGCGATTGGACGTCTGTCCTTTTCTAACTTATTATCATTATATGGAAATATACACTGCGAAAGTGCGCCTGACGGACGTAATTAGGCGCATTTTGGTTAGATGGCGTATCTAAAATGCGCCTAGCTCCGGCCGCTGAAATTGGGCTGATGGCCGCTCTCAGGTTTCTCTCTACTTTCACGTAGAAACCTCCGCTTCGCCTCCCAAAATATTCGTTGCCGTTCAGCAAGTTCTGGATATCTACATATAATTAATAGCAATTAATGCTAAAGAATATTTGATATTAAAACTTACAAATATATTTGTAATAGTCGGTACATAAGTTGTAGTTGTCGGAGCGACAGATATAGGCAATTTCTGTATTATGGCAGCAAAATCCGCATACTCTTTTCTGACAATTACCTGTTGCAAAAGTTCCAATCAGGCGGTATCATCAGTTTCCATCCTTCTTTGGAATCTTTCGTGCACAGTTTCTCTAGGATCTCCATCACTTCCGCCGACGGCAGTTTGACGACGGATATTATTTTATCGCGCTTGAGATATACATGGTCCATCAATAATAACAACTAAAAAAGACACAAGTATAATTAAATCTGGCTATAGGTTGGATGGTTCCTCTAAACATTTCGCAAGCGTATTTTTTAAATCGATTCTCTATCCTTAGATTGAACACTCACTATGTAATCGCGAGCTCTGCACATGAAATCGGCGGAAATGTTATTCTGGGAAGATATAAAACCAGTGGGATAGATCAGTTCGCTTTTTAAGACCCAATTACCCTGCACTAACATCGCCACCTTTTGTAAATGACAGAGTACATCCGTCGTGCTGTGCTCCAACGACAACATTGAACATAAATTGCTGAAAGATATGATTCTCGCTGCAAAAAGAAGATCTCATTTCTTTTTCGTGCCACACGCACACACTCTCTCTCTCTCTCTATTATATATATATATATATATAAATCATTGTTTAATTTATTCAAGACTAATAGGATTTTCTACTAAGTTGAATTATATAAAGACATTTGCGTACCAGACAGAAGGAGAGAGGTCATCGGTTGGTTTTAACTGATCCCGATTTCAGCTGAATGGTTACAGCGTCTCTAACCAACCGTGCACATAAACTACGTAGCCAATGTGCATGAATTGTCTCAGTGAGTAAAGAAGTAATGTCCATGATTCTTGACGTTAGTCAGACAAAAACAGTAATCAACACTATCTGTTCTTGTTTTACTACAGGCGAGAAACAATCGCAGCGGTAAACATAGAGGCGAATTAGCGGCGATCTCATCGTTAAAGAAACATTTCGCTCAGCTATTGACGCATTGCGTTACTCGTAATTCCGGAAGAATTTTTAAGTTTACGTTTTCTGGCCACTGTAACTGAGGAATATTTTGCGTGGGAACATTGAATTAGATACAAGAGAAGAAAATAATTTTAATTTGAGCATTATACAAGGTGTTCCATAATGATTAGTAAATCTTGGAAGGAGTGAAAGAAGGTGGAATTTTGAAATAAAAGTTCCTTTTCCACTTTTGGCTCAAGCCATTATTTACCGAGTTATTAACTCTTGAAGTTTCCCAATGAGAAGGCATATTACGCAAGTGCGTCGCGCACCGTGCCACTCCTCGTCTTTGCCCGGGTTACATTGCTTCTGTTAAAATTTTGCTAAAATTCATTAATACATGAATAAATAAATAAAAACAGTTAGAAATCGATCAACTAATTAGTTTGTTTGAAAAAATTATTTATACATTGTCGGAAATTAATAAATACATAAATAATTGATGTCAATTGTGTCTTTTTACGTTTCTCATCATTTGAAAAAATAAATACAGAAATAATTAATTAATTATTATTTAAATTAATTAATTTATTATTTTAGAAAGTCTTCATTAATTTCGGACAATGTATTAATAATTTTCTGAAATAAATAAATTAATTTAAATTAATTTATTTATTTCAGAAAATTATTAATACATTGTCCGAAATTAATGAAGACTTTCTAAAATAATAAATTAATTAATTTATTATTTTAGAAAGTCTTCATTAATTTCGGACAATGTATTAATAATTTTCTGAAATAAATAAATTAATTTAAATTAATTTATTAAATCGATATTATAATTAATTAGTTCATCGATTTCTAACTGTTTTTATTTATTTATTCATGTATTAATGAATATGGCAAAATTTTAAGCAATGTAACCCGGGCAAGGACGAGGGATGACACGGTGCGCGACGCACCTGCGTAATATAGTAGCGCGCCTTCTCATTGAGAAACTTCAAGAGTTAATAACTCGGTAAATAATGGCTTGAGCCAAAAGTGGAAAAGGAACTTTTAGTTCAAAATTCCACCTTCTTTCACTCCTTCCGAGATTTACTAATCATTATGGGACACCCTGTATGCAGGCTTTTACATGCCGCTAACATTTATTGTTTGTTTCTCGGCAACTACAAAACATATTGATGTCATTCAAAAACCACTGACTTTTCAACAGTTTATTCTATTGGCATTAATGTTTTATAATAGTACGAATAATACTACTGCTTTAGGTAAAGCGTGGGAGCGCGAATATGTCTCGACATCGCGAGCAGGCTCTTACATATCGCTAGCATTTATTGTTTATTTCTCAGCAACTACAAAAAAGATATCGATGCCACTCAAAAAGCACCGACTTTTCTACAGTTTATTGTATTGCAATTAAAGATTTATAATTACAATAATTTTATAATAGAAATTAAAGATATCGATTTAATTCAAAAAACACTGACTTCCCTGATAAAAAATAGTTGATAGAAAACGATAGAATAAAATTCTATCGTTCTATCATTTTTTATCGTTTTTAATATGAATTCACGAATCAAAATCCATATTCAAAATGATAGAAACGATAGCATTTTATTTTATCGTTCTCTCTCAACTTTTTTACTATAGTTTTCTGCGCGCTTTTCTTCTACGCTTTACTTAACGCACCTATATTAATATTACGTTTAACCCGTAACCGGTATAATGGAGTCCCAGGGATCCCAACTAATTTTATTTTCATGATAATTCCTAAACTATCCATTGGCGCTAATATCTTCAATACCTTTCAAGTTTTCAGTATGACAGAAGAAAACATCATTGAGTTATTTGTAAGTATTAAGAATAATTGAATTTCCTTCTCTTCCACGAGTCGTTGCCGCAATATTAATGCTCGGTTATATAAATCTGTAATTATTTGTATTTCTTAGACGTGGCGATGTTATCGTTGACAGGATCGTTTTACTTTTAGCTGAGCTCAACAAAGATATTTTATATTGTCTGTTTTAATTATTTATTATATTTCAATTTTACTTACTTTTATTTTATTTTATGATTTTTTATAGTTATGACGGCTACTTCTTAATATTAATTTGACTACTTAATATTATTTCGGTAACGGTCTTGTCAGCTTTAATATTGCGATTAACATTCATGTCATTTTAATCAGGTCTTTAATTAATTGTAATGTGTTCGTATTGTAAACCTTGAGTTTTTATTATCACCGAAGAGGGTTCATGATTGAACCGAAACATCTGATTATTTATATTGATTACTCATGTTCAATAAATATTACACGATTTCCTAACACAAGGAAGGTTTTACCCATATGGTACATAGCACTATTAGTCCTGTGCTTGAACTCGAATTGCCCCTTTTTCCTATTTTTTGATTGATATCTTCGTTTGTGAGTTCTTATTTCTTTCTCTAAATTTCTTAATCTTCAGCTTAATATAACTCATTCTTCACGCAAAAGAGTAAAAGCTCTTGCCTTTCAGTTAGTAGAACCTGAATTTAAGAGACGTCTTACAATTCAATATATTCATAAGCTATTGCGTTTAATAATTTCATCTATTTTAAAAATTGAAGAAACTGAAAGATCTAAAATTATTTTGCCATCCAGAGTAAGATGTAATAAATGCCCTAGAAGTAAAAATATGAAGTTCAAAGAAATATATGTTAGATGCAACAAACCAGTATACACCAAATATAACGAGCACCAAAGCAAGCACTATCTATAACGATTGCACCTAAAAACCCTCTAAGATTTTAATATTGTATTTAATTTAACAATACTTATTTATATTTTTTATATAATCTATAATTTGTGGACTTAGATTAAAACATAAATTTTTTTCTTTTTCCGATTATTTATCTTTCAGTGTATTTTATTTCAACACTGTCCACATTGTATTCATTTTATAATCAGTTAACATTTTCTTTTCGATTACTGAAAAACTGAGACTTATTGTATATGTTTAGTTATAATATAATATTCGTAAAGTATTATTTTCGAACTATAAAGCGTTTTTCTTTCTACCTTTTATCATGTTAAAAATGGCAAAAATTTATTGTGTTCCGCCGGACCCCAATGTACTTGTAGCTTGATTAAAAAGGTACCGTACCTGTTACGGGTTAAAAACCTCTAATTCCAATAGAAACTTTGGAAAAATAAATATTTTTTTAATCACATCGATATCTTTTTTGTAGTTGACGAAAAATGAACAATAAATGCAAGCAGCGTGTAAAAGCCTGATCGCGACGTCGAAACGTACGCGCGCTTCCACGCTTTACCTAAAGCAATGGTATTATTCGTACTATTATAAATCGCTAATTCCAATACAATAAAATATGGAAATGTCAGTTCTTTTTTAATGACATCGACAGCTTATTCTATTGGAATTAGAGGTTTATAATGGTATAATTAATATCGGTGCGTTAAATAAAGTGTGGAACCGCGCGTATGTCTCGATGTTGCGGTCAGCCCAGATAGCACAGAGAATTCAAAAAGAATTCAAAAAGAATTCAGTCATATGTCACCAATTTTGAGTTTATTTTCAGATGCAAAAAAAGTTCTTCAAAGTTCAATTTAATGAAAAGAATTCTTTTCGCATGTAAAATAAACTTAGAATTGGTGACATACTACTGAATTCTTTTTGAATTCTCTGTGCTATCTGGCAGATTCTTACATGCCCCTATAATTTATCGTTTATTTCTCGATAAAAGTACAAAAAATATTGATATCATTCAAAAAGCATTAATTTTTCCATTTGATTTCGTTGCAATTAGCGGTTTATATTAATGCGATTAATACCGGTACGTTAAATAAGGCGTGAAAAGATCCGTATATTTCGACGTCGTCGACTGTCACTTTTTGGCAGCTTGAATTTTCTATTTATTTTCCTGTAACCATCGTATATATCGATGTTATTCGAAAAGCTGTATTTTCCTTACACTTGATTCTGTTGGAAATAGCGGTTTATAATAATACGATTAATACCGGTGAGACGTCCGGTGCTTAAGAACTCAGAATTGGTGAAAAATGACTGAATTCTTTTTGAATTTTCTGCTATCTGAACTGACCGCAAAGTCGCGCGGTTCCACACTTTATTTAACTCACCGGTATTAATTGTACCATTATAATTACAATAGAATCCACAAAACATAATGTCTAAAATCTGGACATAAGAAGTCTTAAAGATAATCTTTAAGACACCTTAAAGACATTTATACGTAAATCGTCTGAAAGACGTCTCAAAAATGATCTTTAAGACGTCTTATATCCCGATTTTAGACATTATGTTGTTTGAGAATAAACTGTCGAAAAGTCAGTGCTTTTTGAATGTCATTGATATGTTGTTGTTGCCGAGAAATAAACAATAATTTCTAATGGCATTAACCCTACAATCGTCGCGCTACTTTTCGAATACGAGTCGACGCATGGAATCTTGAGAGACCCTTATATAAAAATTTGTATAATATTTTCTTTGTTTAATTAGATTTTTGGGTTCATATAAACTATAAGAAAATACTATTTTGGATATAATATTCTTTTAAAGACTCCATGCGACGACTGTAAGGTTAAAGAATCTGACCGTGACGTTGGGACGTAGGCGCATTTACACTTAAGGCGCTGACATTAATTGTATTATTATAAAAAACATTAATTCCAATACAGAGGTTTATAATTGTACAATTAATACTGGTTAAGTATAGCGTGTAAACGATCGTACGTCTCGACTTCACAGGCAGATTCTTACATGCCACTAGCATTTATTGCTTATTTGTCGGCAACTATAAAAGATGTCGATATCATTAAAAAAGCACTGACTTTTCCATATTTTATTGTATTGGATTTATCGGCTGATAATATTACGAATAATATCATTGCTTTATGTAAAGCGTGGAAGCGTGCGTACGTCTCGACTTTGCGGGCAGACTCTTACATGCCACTAGAATTTATTGCTTATTTTTCGTCAACTACAAAAAGGATATCGATGTGATTAAAAAAATATTTATTTTTCCAAAGTTCATTCTATTGAAATTAGAGATTCTTAAATGTAATATTAATGATGTGTTAAGTAAAACGTAGGAGAAAAATGCGTAGAAAAGTCGGTGCTTTTTGAATGAAATCGATATTTTTTAATTTCTAATTTATAATTATAAATCTCTAATTCCAATACACAACTGTAAAAAAGTCAGTGCTTTTTGTGGCATCGATATCTTTTTTGTAGTTGTTGTGAAATAAACAATAAATGCTAGCGGCACGTAAGAGCCTTACCGTGACGTACGTTGAGTCTTACGCATGCTTCTACATTTTAGAAATAAGTGGAGAAATAAGCAGAAAATGCTGTCAGCGTATAAACACTCGACCGCGACGTTGAGACGTACGCGAGTTTCCACGCTTTACCTAAAACAGTGGTATTATTCGTAGTATTACAAATCACTAATTTTAATAGAGTGAAGAAGTTAAGTGAACGAAATCGATATCTTTTGTAGTTACCGAAATTAAGCAATAAATGCTTAAGCAGTAAGAACCTGATCGCGACGTACGTCGAGACGTCCGCGCGTTTCCACGCTTTACCTAAAGCAGTGATACTATTATAAAACATTAACGTCAATAGAATAAACTGTTGAAAAGTCAGTGCTTTTCGAATGACATCAATATCTTTTGTAGTTGTTGAGAAATAAACAGTAAATGCTAGCGACATGTAAGAGCCTGCCCGCGATGTAGAGACGTACATGTGGTCCCACGCTTTACCTAAAGCAATAGTATTATTCGTACTATCATAATGCTAATAGAATAAACTGTTAAAAAGTCAGTGCTTTTTGAATGACATTAATATCTTTTATAGTTATCGAGAAATAAGCAATAAATGCTATCGGCATGTAAAAGCTTGCATATAATGCTCAAATTAAAATCATTTCCTTCTCTTATCTAAATCAGTGTTTCTATGCAAATGATTCCTCAGTTACAATGGCCAGAAAGTGTAAATCTGAAAATTCTTCGGGAATTACAAGTAATGCGATGCGTCAATAGCTGAGCGAGATGTTTCTTTAACGATAAGACCGCCGCTAACGCGCCTCTGTGTCAGGATAGAAATTTTGACGAGCAGCACACACACAGTGCCGTGAGGCTCACGCACGGTCGCGTGAGTGTGCGTATCCCCTCCCGTACTAATGCGTGCTGTTCGTGACCAAAGTTTCTATCACTGCTCTGTGTCTACCGTTACTATTGTTCTCGCCTGTGGTGAGACAAGAATAGATAGTGTTGATTATCTATCTTTGTCTAACATCAAGAATCATAGACATTACTTCTTTACCCACTGAGACAATTTGTGCACATTGGCTACGTAGTTTATGTGCACGGTTGGTTAGAGGCGCTGTAAGCCATTTCAGCTAAAACCGGCCCATGACCTCTCTCCTTTTTCTCTCTGTGCGTACTAAATTATATCTATACTTTATTTTAGCCTTTCTCACCGTTTTCCACAAATGATGTGATTTGTTCTTGCAATGGCAATGTCTTAATGTGTTCGAGAAACGTTTGCGAGCGTGACGGCATCAGCAGATCCAAATATTTATGCTTGGATAAATTCAGTGTTATGTCTGACGTCGGATAGAGCATCTCTAATCTTGTTAACTGCAAAATTCAACAAGGTATCATACTTGGGTTGTAATAAAATAAAACGTTCTAAAATTTTACTACATAGCGTTTCAAGAAGAATAAAACACATTGTATTCGTGTTTATATTAATACTGACATGAGATACCGTTTCATGGGTTGATACGTATGTCGTGTGTATCCAATTTTCTTCTTGATTTTTTTTCGAATCATGTTTGAAAGACTGCTCTTGAAGTTTCTTTATAGATTCTGATTGTTGTTTCATTGTATGCATTAGCACCATATTCTCTTCCTCATTGCTATTTATTTCTAGCAAACAAAATAAATTTATGAGCTTTTCTCATTCGTTTGCCAAGTGCTAAATGTTCTATACTTATCCATATGAATAAACTTGTATGTCAGTACATAGATTCACAATAGATTCTCTTTTACCTTCTGGAGCATGTTTCTTATACTTGGAACGTTTGTCACTCTTATCCAAATAATTGAATTGCGGTTGCATTTCTAATATTCCTTTTAACGGCGTGATATGAAGCTCGTTGTTTTGAAAGATTCCGATCGCATAATTTGAGCAGTCTGTCACTGATTGTATTGAAGAGAATGTAATCTTATCAAACAGTTCGCTAAGAAAATAAGAGAGGAATATTACAATAATCTTATGATTATCACAATTTATTTAAGCATGTATGAAAATTTAGATTCAAACATAACATTAATATAAATACAATATATTAACATAATATATTAATTGTACTACAATATAGATCAATTACAAATGTAGATTTTTTTCTCTATTGTTTCTCTATAATTTAAGCTTATTTTATTATAATTTTATATATGGACACACATATAAATCATCAGAAAAGTAATTTTCAATAATCTAATCCAAAATTTCTAATCACCTGTCAGATATATTTTCATTTCTCTTAGATTCATTCTTTGCATTGAGCACTAATTTCACTCCCTTACTGAGATTATAATTGTTACTATGTGTATCAACTTTAAATTCTAATTGAACTTTTAAGTTGTTAGGTTTGATGCACGATTTTAAGACTGTAAAATTGTCATTGTTCATAGGACGTGTAGGGTATTGTAACAGCAATAGTTTGTTTTCCAAAGTCTTAGACAGAAACACAGGTATCTGAAAATAATTAAGGCTCCTGTACTGGGATTCTGTAACTCGTTATTGGAGTTAACGATAGTTTCGTTATCGTTGCGCAGCTTTTCTACGGTATACAAAAGCTGCGCAACGATAACGAAACTGTCGTTAACTCCAATAACGAGTTACAGAATCCCAGTACTGGGGAGTCGCATCATCCATCTCTTTTTAATGACGTCAGAAGCGAGAAAACGCATGCTAAAAATTCCTGCAAAATACGTCGAGATAAACAGATATATCCACAAAACGACATTTGCGATCGATTAAGTACACCTCTAAAATACTCCGTACACTTTCCTTTTGTTCTAA